TGGACAGCAAGGACTGGGCCAGCAGCTTCTTGCGCGTCATGATGTCGGCGTCGGCAGGCATGCGCTGCGGCATGGGCGGGCGTCTGAGCTGGTCACTTTGGTGGCCCTTGGTCGACTTCGCAGCGGCCAAGGCAAGCCACTGCGCCCGGTGGTGGTGACTGTCGGAGGGGAGGCGGTAGATGCGGGCTCGCGCGTCCGGGACGCCGCCCTTGAGCAGCTCGACGTAAATCGTCATCAGCTGGTAGGGCGTGCGCCAGACGACCGGCTGTTGCAGCCGTGCGGTCTGGACGGCATCGCGGACGTCGTTCCAGGTGGCATGCTGCAGGAGGCGCACAATGGGTGGCGCCGCCGCGTTCTGTGGCTGCAGCGCCTGGAACTGGACGGATTCCTGGAGGCGTGGCTCGCCGACGTCCATCACGGTGTCTTCCGCGAGGATCGTGTCGGCACCACTGGCGTCGCCGTTGCTGCCGTTGCTACCGTTGCTGCCATTGCCATCCTCCTCGGAAAGCGTAGCCGGTACCGTGTCCACGCCAAACAAAAACTCCCAGTCGCACGCATACCCCGAGCCCAGCTCGCCCTTCGTCCCGTTGCCCAGGTCGACGGCCGTCCACTGCGTGCGCTTCGCCGTCGGCTTGTCCTTCCACGTCTTCTCCTGCCGCCGGCGGCTCTGCAGCTCCCAGTCCCAGCCCGTGGGCGTGCCCGGGAAATCCGCAGGGAACCAGGGCCGGCCGCGCTCCAGGGCCATGTGGTGCTCCTCTTCCAGTCCGGCGGGCATGGGCTGCTGGCCGCTGCTCATGCGCTGCCGGTGCAGGCGCTGCCAGATGCTGGGAATGCAGGCGCGGGGCGCAAGGATGGTCCACGTGCAGCTGGCCGTGCCGCTTTTTCTTGACGCATGAGGATCGGCCGACGCCGGGACCGACGAGGCACCGTCGGCGGCGGCCACGATGACGGGCATGGGGCGGCACTCGGGGTTGCTGTCCAGGAGCAGGTGCTCGTTCGTGGACAGCTTGCCGCGGCGTTTGTCGAGGGTGGCCTGGGCCACCAGCTTTGTCGAATTGTGGCGGGCCTTGCTGTCAAAGAGACCAGAGGGCTGCCGTTCCACGTCGTTCGACGGCCAGTCCTGCAAGATGTGGTACAGGTTCCGGCCGGGCCCCTGGCCCCGCGAGTTGCCCTGTACACTATGTGCCGTCTTTGGCTCGTCCAGCCGCGGGTCTTGGATGTTGAAGGCGAGCATGGCGCCACTGGCCGAGCCCAGAGCCGTGGTGTCGATGCTGCGCAGTTTCAGAAACTCTCTGCCTTGCGGTTCCATAGGTGACGTCTTGGTCTCATAGGGGTAGAGTGTGGCGGCCAGCATCTCGGCGGCGCCGCTGCCCGTCAGATCGATGCTGCCGATTTCTAAGCGGAAGTCGCGGACAACGACCGACAGCTGTTTGCGGGCAATCCCGTTGTTCAGAGTCGTCCAGACGTAGGAAAAGAGGGTGGGGTGCAAGCGCAAGAAGGCGCACCGCTCGGCCTCGTCGTTTGTCGGTTGTGCGTGAGAACCTGTGTCGACAACTGTTGTCACCGTCGCTGTCGGGTTGTAGAAGAGGGTCATGGCGCCGCAGTTGCCTGGGCCACTCAGCTCAAAGCCTTGGCCGATGTTCTGCTGTTGCTGTTGGTAAGAGAAAGACCTTGGCAGCTTCACGTCCACACACGACATTCCGCTCCGCAGAGAGGGCGAGAGGAGATGCGGCTCGACGACAATGGCGAGTGCCTCGTCGAGCTGCTTGGATGGTCCGCGCAGTTCGATGGTCGGTTTGTAGCTCGTGTCCCAGCACGTGCACATGCCCGGTTTGAGGCCGGCAGCACGCAGCGACATGCGGTAGGTCTTGTTGGCGGGGGTCCGCACGAGCGTCGTGTTCCACAAAAAGCCCGGATTGTCCATCTGTGCGCGCTTCGCCTGCCAGCGATGTGTCGGCAGCCTGAGGTTCTTGATGGCGATCGGTGGGTGGGGGCAAGCCATCACCGCTGCTTCGTCTTTGTCGTGTCCGGCGCCGTCCTCCTCCGCCCCCCCTTCCTCCTCCTCCTCCACTACGTCGTTCGCATCATCACCGCCTCCTCCTCCCGCCCCCCGCGCCAGCTTTTTTTCCTGCTGCAGCTTGATCCGCTTCTTCGTGTTCTCGTGCACCCACGCGCTAGCTGGCCATGCTTTCTTACGCTTGGCCAGCCCCGAAGCGACCGTCGGTGTGTTGTCGGCCGCGTGGGCCCGACGCGCCTGTTGCCGCAGCCGCCGGGGCACGCGCCGCGCATTGTGGCTGGCCGTCCGGCGGCGCATGTCGCGCGGGACGCGCTGATATGCCTTTTCGACCCGGTCATCGCGTCGGTGTTTGATCGTGCTGTGCAGGTCGCCAATCTCCTGTTCGAGGGCGCTGATGAACCCAGTAAGATCAAGCGAGTCGGCAGGCTCTTTGCGCGCCGGAGCGGTAGTCCCTGCGCCAGCACGGCCGTGGCCGTGGCCCATCTTGGGCGACATCGGCGAGGAAGAAAAGCTCCTGCTGTGGCTGATATTAACGCTGTTGGTAGCCCATGAAAGGAGGATGCACTATGTAAATGTCGCTGCCGGGCGTAGTATCCGAAAGTATAGAGCAGTATACCGTCCACGGAGTGTAGAGATGTCCTTGAGACGCTGCGCGGGTGCCGCTTGAGCTGTGGTCGTTTTTAACGACTTTTTTATCACAGCTCAATGGCCAAAAAAAAATACACGCGCCGCTCCCATTAAACTTCGCGTCTCCACTCTCCGACGTCACTGTGTGACGCGCCCCGCTCCAGGGCCTTTAAACGGCCATTCACTAGTGCCAGCACTCATCACTCTTATGAATGTCGGGCACATCTGGAATGGCAATGATGCCAGGATGATGATCTATCTCCAATTCTTGGTCGACTTGGTTGTCGTCTGTTTTGTGCAAGCGTTTACATTTCACCCTAGAAACGCGAAATTAAGAGGCACGTGACGCCCTTCATGATCGACGAGAAGAATATACCATGGCATTAAGGGAGAATTACGAAACTTATTCCAGTGAGTGTTCAGCTGGCGATTACCCGTCGACCATTCTTACCAGACGGAATGTACACTATTATGTGCAAATAGTGTTTGGGTGCTACAATGAGGATGAATGTTGTAATTATATAGCTTATAATAGACTGTTCATTTTGGTTTTATGTAGAAAGTAAAGAACAAGCAAAAGAAACAACCGAATAAGCATAGAAAACGTACATAAGAGAACCGGCTTTAGCTATTTATTTTATATTCATCAGGTTTATTTCCCTAATCACACCCCATGGCTCGCGCTATGGTGTTCCAGTTGGTATGACGCTCACCCACCCTTTGCCAATGTCGTGATCGCCTAGGCCATTTCTAGGCCGATGCCGTGCTGCAGGCTGCGCCCTTGCATCTGACAAATGGCGGCACAACGTCTATTGAACTACTGTGTACATGGGCAGAACATGGCGGCAAGCAAACTGGACGAACTGCACGCCGTTCATTGTTTGAGATTTGTTTAAAGTACGGAGCATACGGGACCCCGGATGCGAGGGAAATCTTGTGCCCCAAGGTCGCGTGCTGCTTTATAATTACAAACAGAGCCCGCTGTGGAATCGTATACCTGCAGACCACCTCATGCATTCGGTGCACCCGCACAAGCACGTTGTGTAGACGTGCGCAACGGGTCTGTACGATACGGTCTGTACGTTACCCTCTCTCTTTTATTTCCTTATTTTAGTATCACTTTATTTCTCTCAATATACGTTTCTCTTGATGTTGTATGATTCTCTTTCCCAAACTCTGCCAACCGCCAGTACGGCAATGTCCTAGGCCCAACACACCCAGAGACCGACATGGACGTTGACGAAGAGATGGACGACACTGTCGAGGAAATCATCGACGAAGAGCACCTCAAGGCCATCGAGGACTTCCGCCGCCAAGCCATTCTCGAATGGCGCAACTCGGTACGGAAGGCAACCGGCGACGGGGCCAAACAGACCCAAAGGAGCAAACGGTCCAAGAAGTCCCAGTACGACATCCGGTCGTCGTTTTCGTCCTCGACCTTGTCGTCCTCACAACTGCCACCGCCAGACTACGAGGCGTCCTGGCGCTCCAAACTTGCCATCTGGCCATGGCTGCTGCGCGCCTCGCATTCTTGCGGCAGCACCCTCGTCGCAATCACAAAGTCCACGCTGGCCGTGGAGAATGGCAGTTACCGGGACTCCTTTAATGGTGAGCTGGCGCTACGTATTAAAATTAGCAGGGGACCTTTTGGCTCACAATCGCAGCTCTTGGCGTCGACAATGTCGAATACCAGTGGCAGACTTGGGACGTGGCACTTAATAGGCGTTCATATGACCCGACTGCGACAGTTTAATCTTTCAGACGGAATGTTTTGTCATGTTCACTCATCGGCTGTGTCATATTACTGTTTATGACTCTGACACAGTTGCATTACTAGGGATGAGGTGACTCTGCCGGGGACATGTTTTGAGGGTGTACGACGTATAATAGTTCAAATGACAAAGGAAGAAAATAAGTGACTTCTTACGATTCAAACTAAACGCATTCATCAGACAATATCGATGATTTACTTCGTCATGACCGTTGCCTTTTGTCAACGTACGCGACCGTCGACATCACGTGACCATCAACGTCATAAAGGCAAAGCGAGACCATCACCAAAAATTGGCGGTCAATTGCGGCACAAAATCGCCTCCAGCCTCGTCGTGAACCTTTCCCGCCTTCATGCTTCATTGGCTCGGGTGGCTCTTACTCTGTGTTCTAACTCGGTCTTGGGTGTGTTTTGGGCCCGCTTTCCTTTCTGGAGCACTTCCTGCCCTCTCGTTTCATCCATTGGCGTTTGCTTGGGTTGATTCTCTCCTCTAACCAAAACCGAAAACGACCACTTTACATATGTTCATCAAACGGCCAGCAACTTAGACCACAACCCCCCCGGTCTCCCTTCCCAGCCGCGGCCATGGACGACCTCGACATGGAAGCATACAAGTTGCTGATTGACCCGACACCACCTTCCGTGCGCGACAGTCGGCCTGCTTCCAAGATGAAGCCCAACACGCGCTTTCTCAGCCACATTGTCCGGGAGGCCAAGTCACACAATGCCGCCCTTCTTGCGCGCGAGGCGGCAGATGCACAGAGGCGGCTAAAGCGTCTGGACCGAAAAGGTGGCGGAGAAGGGAATAGCAGCAGCGACGATGAGAGGAGAAAACGGCGGAGGCACGGAACCGATGACTCGGCACGTGATGACGACCGGCGCCGGAGACGGAGACGGCGTGGGGATGGTGATGCCGGTCGAGACGATAGAGAACGAGATGGTGAGAGGCACGACAAGCACAGCAGCAGCCACCGGCACCGCAGAAGTCATCACCATGAGAGCAGCAGAGAGGACCGGGAGCGGGAGCGGGAGAAGACGGACAGAGACAGGCATAGCAGGAGCAGGCGCCACCGCGATCCTGAGGACGGGCATGCCGAAAAGGCCCACGACTCCTCCAACCACAAGCACCGAAGAGAACGGAGCAAGAGTCCTCGTCTGCGCAGCCGCCGGCGGTCTGCGTCTCCACGGCCGTCGAAGCACAACCAGGACCATCGTGACCGGGATCGGTCTCCCTACGACAATAGCGACCGAGACCAGAGTGACTACAGCTCGGATCCCTTGGACGAGTTTGTGGGTCCGCAACCGGTCTCGCCCTTGGACCACCTCAAAGACGACAGCAACGACACCGGCATCCGCATCCGGGGCCGCGGGGTTCATTCTGCTGTGACACGAGGTTTTGCTGCTAGCAGCATGGACCGGCATTTTGCTGCCGACTACGACCCCTCGGAGGACGTGGAGCACCCGCTACCGGCGTCACCGCCAAAGGTTGCTCCTCGGCTCGCAAGCATCGTGACTACGGACGCGGAGGCCGAGATGCAGGAGGACCGCAAAAAGCTCCTGCGTGATAACACAGAGAGGTTGAAAGCCGCTGGGTTTACGGACAAGGAGATTGCCATAATGTCGCGGGGCGGTCGGCGGCGCCTCGACAGCTCGCCGTGGGCCAAAAAGGGCGAAGCACGGGAATGGGACCGTGACAAAGTGGCAGGCCAAGAAGGGCCGGCGAAGCCTGCGTGGGCTCGCTAGATTTCTCACGTTCAGTTAGCATCATATATGTATAAGCGGCATATTATGGAGTTTTTATTGCAATATTCTATAGCGACTACGGCTTTGGTGAACAAGTGTTACGTTCGATTAAAATAAATCATATATATGCAAATATTGCGTTTGCATTGTATGTACATGCTGGCCGCTGCTATGCAAGAGGTGATTGTGTTAACATCACCCCCACGTTTGTGTCTGTACGACGATGGTTGAGGATGAGAGTAAAAGTGAAGGCACCCAACTTTACTCTACCGGTGCGTCACGCCACCCAGTGAGGTTATGCCGTCCTTGGACGCGTTCGCCACCAGATCGTTCTCCTGCAGCCACGACTCGGGCGTCGTTTCCTGGATGAAACCAAAAATGCGCCAGTCGGCCGTCTTCCACGTCTGCCGGTCCAGCATCGCCACCAGAATCACGTTCTCCTTGACGTCCTTCTCAACGACACGCGGTGCTGATGGCGGGTTCTTCGCCGCCGCCGCTGCCGCTGTCTTCGTCCGCATGCGGATGTTGCCCTGCGCCCTCGCCACATCATTCATTGTCCATGTGAACCGCTGCCGGCTGCGGATCGTCACGACGACCTGCCGAATGTACATGGGCATGGCGCCCGGGACCATGACAACCTTGTGGCTGACCAACTTGGGCTTGCCCTTGTACGACAGCAGCTCCCACTGGCAGCGCTGGCCCCGTGGGCGGCGCGAGATGAGGCCCGTAATCTCGTCGAGGTGGCTCGTCGTCAGCAGGCGGCGCAGCGTCGCGATGTCGCCAGCGGCCGTGGCCTCGAGCATCTGGTAGTGCATGTTCTTGGCCATGGGCGCGATGGCCTTTTTGTTGGGCTTGAAGACGGCGCCTTTGAAAAAGCTCGGCTTGCTCTGCAGGCGAATGGAGAGCTCGGCAAAGTAGTCGGAGACACGGGATTTGAGGCCCCACCAGAACAGTTTGGCAAAGACGGTCGGCTGGGACAGGTATTGGCCCATGGGGGGAGGAACAAAGGTTTCTGGACGGGGGAGGTTAGACGATCGCTGAGTCGGGGCTCAAACCATAAAGCAGGTGAACGTCACGGACAGAACGTACGAGGAATGCGGAAGGAGATCAAAGCAGACGGCCGGCTATCTTTCATCCGCGCCACATGCACTGCCGGAGAAACGTCGCCCTCGCCCTGCGCCCGCATCCGTTTTACATGTGCTAACCGCCGCTGCGGCAGTTGTGTGGGCTGCGGCGCACCCTGCCGGAGGCTGGCCTGTGATGGGACGAAGAAGAAGGGCGCCGGAGCCCGTGACCGCAGAAGCGGCTGTCGGAGAACGCCGGCCATGTTGGAGAGCTGTGATCCTGCCCGTTGCGCTGAGAGAAAGGGGAAAATATCGTCCCAATCAAAAGTCGAGGCGATTCGAGTCGCTCTGCGCTCTCCAGGCTCGAATGTTGGGAACCGACCGGGCGCAATTAAGTGCTCGGTCGTTGCGTATTGTCGGTGGGAAGAACCTTACTCGGGTGTTCTTGTGCGGGTTGTCGCCGACGAGTGAATGTGAGGACAAAAATCGAAAATGGAAGAGCCCGCTTGACATCGAATTCTGGCGATCTCTTTTTTTTTTTTGCTTGCCATGTCAATTGTAGAGAGAGCTATTGCCTTTTCGGGACTAGCTCGAATATTGACCGACTCGGGTACTTAGCAACTCCGCTAAATGCACAGTTGGGACCGATCAGACGGCGTGTTTTAGGCGAACTAAGGTGAAGGCGCAATCAAAATACACGGCATGAGTCAGTGTGTTTAGCTTTTTTCTCAGGATATCGATGGACACAGTTGACATCACAAAACCTTTTGACACAACTTCGTACAAGACACAAACAGGCCAAACTGAAATCAGTCTGAATAATCTGCTCAGTCAGTACTTCCTGGTGAGCCATATATAGTGTCTTAGCTGTGGCATGGAAGGAAATTCATGTCTACTTGTGTGACACGACACCTCAATCTCACCAAACGCCACATTCTGCATGGCTGTCGCCTTCCCGCCGCAGGAACGAAATAAACAAACAATAATATACGCGGCATAGTACACGGAGATATAAAGTCTGTATTTTGAAGAAGCAATTGGTGATTTGAATCGTGAACATTTACAATCTCAACTTCCACATTTAAAAAGACGCCACGTGACGCCAATCTGCTTAGTCACTCACACATCCCTTGGCACGGTGCTTTCGCAGCATTGACGTCGCAGCCCATTAGCAATTGCTGTAGCCAAGCTGTCCCCCCTGTTTAATTGAACGCACACACTTCCGCCCACCCTGTTGCGTGCTCTACTACGACATACACAAGTCCATGAGAAGGACCGCGGTCTTTTATCTCTCTTCTTCGCTCCGCTCACCTCCCTCGCCGATCTGGCAACTACACTACCCAACACCGTTCGTGTCACGTCTGACATCGCGAACTCTCATCCAATCTCGTCCCATCTTTGTCGATCCCCTCCGTCCTCAACTGCAGGCCTTGGCACAACGTATATCCTGCCTCACCTGGCATCTACAGGCCGTCTGTGTATCGGGAACTATCGACAACACCCCAGGAACATTATAGAAGCGTTGTCGAAGCTGCCCTCCTGGTCTCCCGTTGCAGCGGCAGATCAAAAAGCCTGGCTGCCCTTGCGCACACGCGCCCGCAATTTAGGCACGGGACGGCACAGCTTTCTGTCACCTCTCGTACGCTGAATAGAGGCATATACCGAAGGAGAGAGAGGGAGCTACGAAGAGAGGACACTTGGCTGTCCCTCTTCTCCCGTCTCCCTCCTTTTTGATCCGGCTTTTATCTCACTCCTGTTTCCGAAATTGCACCACGGTCTCACTCACGCAACCACCTTCTTGCCCTCCTCGCCTCCTCCCATCCACTCCTCTCCGACTCGCACCCTCCTCCTCCTCCGACATGTTCCCTCCTCCCACCTCGCAACTTCCTCCATATTCCTCGACCTCCTCCGCCACGGCATCAACCTCTCTCCCGGTCTCCGCATCAGCACCGGCCAACCCCGGCCCAACGTACCGTAAGACGGTCCGCTTCCAGACGACGAATGATGCGACCAAGAGCATAAACAAGCAAGGTCCCAACGGCAGCGTCCCTGGGTCCAATTTGCCACTGGCAGGCGCAGGAGCCCGCGCTTCGAATGGATATCATGCCTCCGCCACATCATCCCCTCCCCTCGCGGCAGTAGGAAGCGCTTTACCTAGCAACTACAACGGCAACGGAACGGCACACCACCAGACAAGCTATAATACCAACCACAACAACAACGGCGGCGGCGGCGGCACGCTAGGGAGCGGCCCACCAAGCTACGACGGCGGCGATATCGACCGCGGTTCTAGCAGCAGCGGCGGCGGCGGCGACGGACAGGTTGCACGGCCTTCGCTGCTACAACCACGCGTTGCTGTTGTGCTTGGTCTGCCGAGCCTGTGGCACCTGCCGCTGTTTGCCTGCCGCTCACTCTCCGTATGTCCGGCCATCTGGTGGAGCCTGGGCATCTTTATTCGGCTGCTGGCGCAGCTACACGCACTGGCCGTGGCGCGCGGTGTCTTTGGCGAGGTTGACCCAAGCAGCGGCAGTGCTGGGGGCGGATTTGGCAGCAGTGTGCCCGGCGTTGATGCGATTGCAGCCGCTGCGCCAGGCGGTTTGGGGAACCTGCCGGACCGTGGTGTTGGGCTGTCGCTCGAGAGCCGGCTGAAGCTGACAGAGACGGCGCTGGCTATGATCTGGGTATGTCCTACGCTCTACGCTCTTGCTGTGTACTTGACACCCATCCCTCTTCCTCTGTACTGACATGGGCTAGTGTGGCGCCTCTGCGTACTTGTCTTTTTTCTTTACCGACTGCCTCATGTCGAGATGGTAAGAAGGGACTCGCTTGATCCCAGCTAGTTTCTTGTGCCGTCCTCCCAGTCTAACATGCAAAAAAGGCTCTTAAACTACACTCCACAGGCGACCATTGTCCGCCTGCTCGCCATCAACGCGCTGAACGGCTACCTCACGTCGTGGGTGATCTACCTCATGGGCAGCGGCGGCGACTCGCGGCTGCTGCTGCCTGCCTGGGTCGCCATTGCCGCCATCCTGACCGGCCTCTACCACGGCACGCAGCGCAAGATTAACATTCGCAAGGAGACGTCCATTTCCATCAGCGTCTTCTCCGGCGCCAGCTTCATCAGCATGGTCTCGCTACTGGCGCAGCTCTATTGGGACCGACCCGAGTACGTGGACGTGCCGGTCGTGGCGCTGACGCGGCGGGTGTGTACCGAGGCGGCACGCATCGCTGGCAACCTGTTTGATATAGGTAACATTACAATGGATCTTTGAATCTTTGAATGCCTTGTTTCGTTTGTTTTATCGCCCGGGGCTCTAAGGCGTTCAGTGTCATGTCTCGTTTCTTTTCCTTTTTTGCCTACGCGCGGCGTCTCATATTGTTTTGCTCACTGTTTTCTTGCGCCATTGTATACGCGTATTATCGACCATGTTTGGCCGACACATACTTCCATATTGTACGTATATACCATTCCATTCTTGCCTTATTTATATTGGATATCGTCGTTGTCATTTTGCACTGCGAGTTGAAACAATTTGTGAGGTCGTCATTGAGTGAGATATGCGGGTCAGTGCACTGGCGTGCCAATGGAAGACATCGACAATGAGCAAAACTCTGACCTTTTCCGCCGTTTTCGTATATTAAACGTTCCACCACCATAATAGCTTTGAAATGACTATGCAATTGCCTCATTTAATACCAAAGAATATGCAATGGTTGTAACATGACCCCAGTCGTTCCTGCTAGCATACCATCTGGCATACAAAATGTATGTCTGCATCTCCCGCGGTGTGAATATCCAGGCGTTGAGTTGTAAGTTGTTGAAAACGTCCAACTCGTCCCTTTCCAAAAAATAAAATCATCTCAGCACCTTCAAGATGAGATACGCCCTGTCTTTGAAGAGACGACTGAGGACAGCCTAGAAAGGCAACAAAAGGTGAGGGGGAGAGGACTGCCAATCTTGGATCCATGGCTTCCCAGTTTGTCGTATTTATCCCTGTTCTGTTGCTGCCGGCCATCCTGTTGCCTTTCGGGTCTCCCTCTAAAAGTCGTTGGGGCCCTTGCGACCCGACGTTTCTTCGTAAGCGTCAATGCTGGGGCCAGATGCGCCGGTGTAGGTGCCGGCGGGAACAGTGGTGACGGTGTTGCCGGCATCAGCACCAAGGTCGCTGCTGCTAGCATGTGCACCAATCTCGTGGGCACGCGGGTTGATTGGCTGGAAGGGGCGGCCCTGGGTGCGGGCACGGACGAACTCAAAGGCCATGCGCAGAACGAACGATCCGCAGCCGAAAAGGATGCCACCAATTGGCGCGGCCACAAAGGCACCAAAGGCACCCCAGTCGCCCTCGTACAAACCCTGCTCGAGCAGGAGCAGCTGGGCGCCCGTCAAGGCGTCGCCGTAGTAGATGGTACCGAAGATGAAAACGGTCAGCAGACCGCCGAGGCCACCGATGATGACGTCGGTGCCGTTCCATAGGGAGAAGCGATCCCAAAGGCCAAAAATAAGCACAGGGATGGTCGAGGCAGACACCAGGTCGGAAATGAGGTAGATCTGCAGGATGCTAGGGGTCTTGAGAGCCAGAACAACGACAGGCACGATGATCAGGACCACACCAGCGCGGATGTACATAGGGCCAAGGCGGTTGCGGAAGATGTCGTTGGAGGCAGACGAGACCATGGCGCTCTGAAGCGAGTCAAACGCCGCCGTGGACAGGCTGACGGACATGACGAGGACGATGCCAACGACCCAGCTGGGTAGTTCAGCCAGAAGCAGGAAAAAGGCGACACTGCTGTCGGCATCGGCAGGATCGACACCCTCACCAGGGTATGCGCCAGACCAGACAGCAACGAGGCCACCCACACCAACCAGAGTGAGGATGATCAGGATGGCAAAAGCCGCCAACGAGACGCCGATCCAGAGATCTTTGTCCGTACGCGAGGCGAAGGTGCGCAGCCAAAAGTTGGACAGGAAGAAGTCGTTGGTCAGGATAGCAACGGGCAAAATATACAGCAGCTGCCAGCCAAGCAGGTTGGCTTCGAGCAGGCCGGAGTCAATCACATCCTGGTGACTTATGTGGGTCTTCGCACCGACAGTGATGGACGCGATGACGATGAGGCCGAGAACCAAAGCGCCCTGGACGTTGTCCGTAAGAAACGAGATGCGGAAACCGCCGACAGCTGGACAAATCCGTCAGCAACGCGACCATACTCGATCAAGTTCTGAATCCACCGAATCGACACAACATACCCGTGTAGATGGTCGTTACAACAACTTCCACAATGACAACCGGGAGGCCATCAAGGCCGGTCAACGCAGTGACCACCTGGCCAATGGCCGACAGCTCAGCCACCATGTAGAGGAAGAGCGTGGCCAGAGTCAGGAAACCGAGGAAGATGGCGGCAGGGAGGCCATACCGTTGGCGCGTCCATTCGGTCAGGACGAAGCCGTCGGGGCACTTGCGGCGGATGGCCGGGCCGAGCGCGGCGAAGACGAACAGCGGCAGGGCTGACGACAGGGCGTAGACGAGGACGCCCTGAAGGCCCGAGATAACAGCCAGCTGGGGGTACGAGAACAGAATACCGGAACCGAGGGCTACCTAGTCAGCGATCCGAAATGGGGGAAGGGCAGGAGAGGTTGTTAAAAGGCCGTGGCAAGAGGGCAGAGGGGCAGAAAGGGCAACTCTTGGAAGAGTGGTGCAGGAGAGGTGACGGAGTGAGGCAGGGGACAGTGAAGCGAGACGGGTCAAGGGGAGGGAGAATTTGGAAGAGCGGCAGCACTTTCCCCACGCAAGTATTATCTTGATCGAGTAATTACGGTACAGTCTCAGCTTCGTCACATCATTGGAGAGAAGCAAGGAGAGATCGAGATATCCGGGGGACATCACGAGTGTCGCATCGCAAGAATGCAACAAGCTTATGTCTTCGGCCCCGTATCCTCTCGCTCTCTTTCCTCTCTCCTTTGCATGGACTCGGCGCCCGTAGTGAGCCGCAGTCCTCTCTTGGCTGACCTGAAGCCAGGCTCCTGCCATGTCCCGGCAAACCTAGACAGGTGGGATCCGACTCCAAGGCAGACGAGAGGAACAGAGAACACGGTGTGAGCGTAACGCTAAACGAACCTGGTACTTGACGATATCTGGGTAGTTGGGTGGTGAATGGCCGGGACAGCACCGCGGTCTCTGCATGTCATGTTCCAAGCTGCAGAAAGGAGGGCATCCGCTGTGTCGAGAGGGCCGATATAGGTCTTCAACGGCCTCCGTTTCACGGGAGGTCACAGTCGAAACAAATAGAAGCCGCTCGAAGTCATGCGAGGTACCGGTCGTGACGGTGTAGCCTGCATGAAAGACCTGTCCCTGCCTGCTGATGCGTCGTCGCATCTTGGCCGGTGGCGGAGATCTGCCTTTTCGTGGAATCGACAAAAGACTGCTGCCGCCGCTCTTCAAATGCCCCATCTCTTGCATTGGTCGCCAGCGGTGGATTTGGCCACCGATGTCTCGACATGCTTTGTTTCTTTGGTCCTGGTTGGGTCCCATGCCCTCTTCATTCATGTGAGAAGAGGAGGACCTCCTTTCAAAAACTCACCAGAGGCGATAAAGTTCAAGGCAAGCGGCAGAGCTGTATTCCATAAGATCCAGAAAAGGCACGCAACAAGCGCAGGCAGGTCAGTGGTTAGTCAAGTGTTCAGCCGGCAAGAAGACGCAGACTGCCGGCCTAGTGGAGCACAAAAGCAGAAGCAAAAAGAGCAGCGCGTGGAGGCAGTCTCCGAGAGAGTGAAGTACCGGTCTGCGTTCTGTTGCCGGCCAGCAGGTCGCTGTTCTTGGTCTGCTTGCGCAGGCGCCAGGCGATGCCGGTGCCGAGCACTCTGTCGGTGTCACGTTAGTGGCGGTGCTCTACGTATCTGTCCGTGTCCTTGTCAAGGATCCGAGAATCTCACAGAAAAGCGCCATATGTCAGGTAGATGACGGCATTGGAAGCCTGAAATGACGGCTGTCCCATTGTTTGTGGCGGTTGGTTTTCAGATTCGCGTTGGATCGAGCTGGTGAAAGTCGCGTGTCGATGCGGCCGAAATGAAGCTCTAGAACAAATAGCCTAGGCAGATGAGATGATGCAGAAATGAGAATGGTGCTGCGCAAATGAAGAGGGACGATGAGGTGCGCTGTTTATTATACTGCATTGAAAAGTTTGCGTCGCCTGGGAGCTGAACTCGTTTCTCCTACAACCTCAAGTTTTTACTCGCTGTTTCCTACTTTTTCGCGCTCTTTCCGCTGTTGGCACGTGTGTCGGTGCATGCACCCGCCGTAAGTCGGAAGGTGCTTAGGGCCTGGGCAATGTGGCCAGCCGTTAATAGACGTCGAAAGCCGCAGGCTACGGCCCGAAAGGGGAAGGTGCGCAGGGGACACCCCAGCAAGTTCATCAGCTCTGCTCCGGAATTAGGACGTCTTCCAGTGCAGGATTGGCAACATAGTCCTGTTAATCAGACTTCTGTAATAACAGTGTTATTTCTCCGTATTTTGTTGTTACAGAAAATTTGCATCCTGGGGATGGCTTCAACAGGCGCCACACAACGCATTGATGGACGGGCCCGGGAAGCAGCGTTTTGGAGCTCTTTCCATGAATGGCAGTTGTGACAGCTCCGTCAGCTCTGCTGTGCGAATGCTCTGCAACTTTCAGTGCTCATACAGTTGCATCGTCCCACCCCCACGACTCCCCAGGAGCTCGGTGAGATTTTGCGACTCCTCTAATTTCCTTTCTCCGAGGAGCCTCATCCAGGTTCATTTATGACTCGCAGCATCCTATCTCGGAGGAGGTAAAGCGTTGCAGTAGTGTGGGGGCGCCACTTCCTGTCTGAGCAGAGCGAAGAGCAAAGTTGGCTTTCAGGGCAAGAGTATCTTGCTTGCGTCTCATTCGCCCATATTAGTTGCTATGGGCGTGGAATATGTTATGACCTGTCAGCCAGGGTCGCATCGGTCCTGCACCGACGAGAACGTTCACGGTCGTGCCTCATGTTATTTGAAGCCCCAACACGAGAAAGCTCTTCATGATTTGCAGCAAAAGCAGCCTTGTCATTTCTACTTTCTCTCTCCAGTGATGTGACATTCTCCTTCTCATTGTTGATGTCAACGGCAGGCCTACAGTGTAGTATTTGATCGTGCCTTCCCTCGGTCGTATCTTGTTGATCATGTTGGCCGTGTTTACTTGTGCCTGGTCGCGCTTACCTTCTCGTGCAATATTTGGCCTCGTCTGCCTTACCTGCGCTTGCTTGCCGCGACCCCGTGTGTAAATCGGTTGCACTTGCCCGTTCTGTCGCGGCTATTGTCTGGCCAGTCTGCCTTGTTTGTGCTGTGCTTACGCGTTTATCCATATTCTCGTGGCTCACATCTTCCCGCGCTTGTTCGGCACCACAACATCACCGTCGCCTGCGTCCATCTGCCGATGCACACAGGTGTCATCGACGATCCTTCCAACGGCAGGCCTCCTATCTGGTTTATTATTCCCATGCAACGCGCTTGCTTGGGTTGCATCGACTCGCTGGCGCTTGATCGCGCTTGTCTTCGACTTGTTTGGCCAACAGCTTCAAAAGATCCCCCGGGCCATCTCCATATCAAACGGCGGGTCCCATGCTCCGGCATCGCCGTACGACCGGTACGATGCAGCATGGTTCGCGGCTAACGGGCGGTCGAAAACAGCCACAGAACAGGGCTTCGAAACGGCCCTCGAGCCATCCAAATGGCACTGCAAACCAAAATCCAGCCTTGCGGTGAGACCAGCGTTTAATTACCTGCATGCGCAGCCCGTAATTACTGTGGCTGAGCAGAGTGCAGTCTCACAGCCACCCCTGCCCAAACCCCAGTATCCGGAACACCGCCCTCTACCACTTTTTCGAGCGGTTGGCGATCTGCTTGGGGCTCTATGGGGGCCGTGCCCTTTCCGTGGTCCATGCGCTGCATTTTCGTGCATGTCGTGGGACTGAGGTCGGTGCCAGAGTTGACGCTACCTCTACCAATACGAGAAAAGACCGCGCCCCCGGCGTGCCACGAAAGCGACATGAAGGCTCTCGACCGAGATCCGTCGTCGCTTGTGGGTGGTATGATGCAAGGTGATCCTCTCTGCCCTATGGAGGCTCTGCGCCAACCCACGCCTTTGCGGGAACATTCCGACGACAAGGCGCGGCTATTTTCGAACGGCATGCCAAGTGTTTAGTTTCACGGCGGGCGGTATGTTGCGGTCCGCACGTACATGTAGATACACTGTTTGTCATGGTCCATGAAGAGTTTGTTTTTCGGCCGCTCTACGGAGTACCACAGGTTCTTCTGTGTCGCCTGTGGTGCATACGAGCACCTATTCTTGCTGAGTTGCTTTGTTTCTCTGCATCGGCTCCGTCCCCACACACCCCGTTTGCTTCAGTTCCTGAACAGGAAAGCTTCAGCTACCATATCGACACACCGACCGCCGAAGACAGCCACCATGACCTTGCCGAAGAAGCGCGTTAATCGCGAGTTGAGCGATGCAACGATGAGTTGTGGATCTGCATGTCCATGTTTGAAAAACGAGCCTCATCATGAACACAAACATTCTTGGTCCAATCGCCCCATGTCCAAGCTGCGACGTGCACAAAGAGCCGAGAGGCCGATGCAACATTTCCTTCCCGGTGAATACGGAATTCTGCAGGGAGCAGGCCAGCAGAGGCCAAACCCTCGAACATGGATCACGTCCGCAGCCACCCGTCAAGCGGAAGGCCCAAGCTCGAAGCTTAGCCCGCGAGCAACTACCAATTTAGGGGCCAGAACGACCGTGAGATCTTGTCCAAAACGGGGTTGGGAGGGAGAAGGATAAGTTTGGGCCGCTTTGCCGCCATAGTGGTACGTATTTTCGCCAATACGATGAATACGACAGCGATGCGAACCAAACAAACAACGTCAAAACCACCTACCAAATTCGAACTCTGCGACGCATTCAGGCACACTGAGCTCCAAAGCCCAGGCTAGGATTGGTCCATGGACCGCAAACTGACCTTCCCATCAACCCAGTCACCCTTTTTGATCGTCCGCCCCCTGGCAAGGAGGCTCAAGCTCCCACTGCGCAGCAATTATGGGGCCTTTTGGAAGCTCGTCCGCGGAATAGACGGACTTTTCGGGGGACTCCTCCACGGACTACACGGACTTTTTCCGACGACACATTGCAATAAACAAATTCCAAATGTATCGACATGGGTTGTGAGGCTACTTTGCTTGTCGCCGTCCTTGCGGCCCCTCTTTGCCCACCATATCTCGATGTGGTTCGGACGAAATTGTCTGGTACCCGTATTTTTGCAGACCTCAACCCAGGTTTCGCTCGAAAAAGTTGAACGGCAGAGACATATTCGGAACAAAATATCATACTCCCTGTATTTCTTTTGTCACGTCTAGACAAATGTCGTATACGGGGGTAGGGTACGTGGAGTAACTACTAGTGTAAACCGAGCTCTCCTGCTAGATGCAGTTGGTCTGTCTCTTTCTCTATGAATCTTCTCTGGTGCTTGCCATTGACGCCCTTTGGAACGAGATGACGGAGCATTCGGTAAAAAATGGCCGAGATACAATCGAGAGGGTACACCGTATTTCGCTTTAGTTTTTGTAACGGATAACCTTTGGTGATTATTTGTTCGTGGTAATGTACTGACTCCTGTCTTAAAATACCTATTTCTTTCTTCTTTCTCTGGGTTTCGCTCTTCTATCCAATGCTCTAATTCCTATTACCGGTCTTCTTCAAGACCTTCATGCGCGCTGCGTCTCTGCTCTTCCCATTTTTATGCGCGCTTCTAAAAATACAGGGATCACGAAAAAAGCTACCCCTTCCCCCCCCCCTCGAAGCTACCCCAGAAAAATAACCACCTTGCAAGGCTATCCCATCGGAGTCGCCGACCTCACGTTTTCTTGACTACATCTCTACGTCTTTATTCAATTATTGTTTTCTTTAACTTTGATATCTCTCTCATGTGTAATTTTCTGCTTGCTACTTTGTTTTATTTGTTTTATTTTCTGCCTTGCAGCAAATATCTTCTTCACCATTCACTTTCCTACTTCCTCTTATTGGAACACACCGACCTCCCCTTGTCACCTCGTCTCCATCGTGTTGGCCCTCTTCCTACATCCCGCTCTCACGTCCAACGTCCCACTTCAACGACGACTGACAAGGATCCTTGGACAGATCTCGACGTGCGAGAGGGTCTGTGTCTGATCAAGAATTCAGCCTAGGCAAACCAGGCCAGGAAAGTTTGATACAACGCAATACCACATCCTGAATAAACAATTGCAAACCAGAAACGTCTTTGCACACTCACACAACTTTACATCAATCCATCTTCGGCCTTCAACTTCATCCTCTGGCCAATCCTTCCCGGACGAAGCAGAGAAACATAAAATCCTATAAACATCCTGTATTCCTTCACGATCAGAAACAGTCAAGATGAGCTCTGTACTGCCTCCTCCGCCTCATCTCTCAACTACTACTACAACAACATCATCATCCTCATCATCCTTGTCGTTATCGTCAGCATCGTTACCGCAGTCCTCATCCAGGTCCTCTTCGACCTCACCGCCGTCGAAACCATTGGCTTCGTTGCCAAGTCCGTTGCGGTCGTCATCTGCGTCACCTTCTTCGTCTGACTCAACACCAAACACTACCACAATGAGCTCCCTCGACAAGAGCCAGCTGCAGCAGGAGATGTCCACCCTGCCTCTGTCAACCATCTCGACATCCATTGCGGCCTCGTCGACCTCCACGGCGGCCGCAGCAAGCTCAACCAACACCGTCAGCTACACGCTTTCATCGTAAGTCATTTGTGGTCTGTGTTGGCCCAAGCCTGTATGGACATCAACACTGACTGTTTAGGTCCACGTCGACGTCTAACCCGGGCTTCCTCGGCGGGGTAATCACCGATGCCGTCAATGAGGTCCTCTCGTCGACTACCAACTACACATCTTGATGTACAGATGGCTCGAAATACAATGTGCCAACATTGATATATAATATCATGTCGGGCACGAGATCGTTACGTTTTATGATATTGCTTTATTTTTTCGTCGTTGTTTGATTTTTTTCTACTCATTTTTCTCTTTTTTTGCTCTTTTTCTCTTACATATTTTTCTTTCCATTTTTCTTTCGAATTTTTTTTTTTACGTTTCTAGTGTTTTTTCTTTTCTTTTTTCTTTCTTCTTTCTTTCTTTCTTTCTTTCCTCTTTATTTCTTTTTTTCTTCTTTCTTATTTTCTGTTATTCTCTTCTATTTCCCATATATTTTCTTTTCTACTCTATCTTCTTTGTCATTTCTTAAGGATGTACATGATTCTTTATTTCGTATATTCCCCCCCCCCCTTTTGCGTTTCGTCGTTTGTTTCTCTGACCATTTCTTGACCTTCTCTTCTTCACACACTCTTTTCTTACTCTGCTTTTGCCACTCGACTTTGGTTTATTGCCTTTCTCCCTCCCATAGCTTTTTGATACGCAGCTTGGATTTATTTCAAACAGCCAGAGTTATATAGGTGTTACACCTGTGTCGGTCACTACCAATCATACGAGACATAACATTCAATGCAACCTTGTCGTCCTTTTACGTGAACGCAAAAGCTGAATGAACAGGATCCGCCATATTTGCTACATTTCAACACGGATAGATCGGATAGTGATTCTTGTTTAAATTAATACAACCGTCCCAAACGTTGATAGTTAGCAGCGGGTTACGAGACGTAGGCATTGATACCAGTTAAGATCCTGCTGTTTTTTTAAATGTCTTCAATTTTTTTTGTTGGTTCCTGGCAAGCCCGGCACAACAGAAAAGCTAAAACACCACCAATAGAGCGAACACACATTTCAAAGCGGTGCACTTCGTCAATGCTGTCTTTTCCTGTGCTTTCATGTCCATTTTTTTATTTGTTCCTTCCTGAAGTCGAAAGTATGCGCCCGTTTCCTCCCATCCTTTGAAAAAAATCACAGCCGTCCGCACCCCCGTTGCTATTCTCCGGAGGGTCCTCAAATATTAGTGAGAGACGCCTCCACCTCAATTTTGAAATATAAAATTTTTGCTTTGGTCGAAAACGGTGTCCAGTTGTGTTGGCTTTTCGCGACTTGGCGGTCGGAGGGTGTCCATTGTGTGCCAGTTCGAAAGGGGAGGGAGTTGGCTGGCTTTGTCGACACGGTGGTTCGTAAAAAAGATTGTAGGTTTTGTCGTCTCTCCGAAAAAGCAGCTGTTCCGCCAGCACCTCTCTACTCCTCCCATGATTTGTGTTTTCACCCGGCCCGCATTTTATCGTTCAAAGACTGAAAATGGAAACAGCAAACGGATACAAAGAAAGAAGAACGAGCAAAGACAACGATTTAAGCACGGACAGCCCGGGACGCGGCCGGTGCGCCGACCCGGAAACCGTTCTTGAACCGCCGGGCAACACCGCTCAGGAAGCGAGTGCGGCCAGTGCCGGTGGTCTTTCTCCGCTTAGCCTTCTCGGACCAGTTGTCTGTGGGTGGGTTAGCGACCGAGGAACAGCAACGTGTGATCGGTAGAGAATCGAGGTACGTACACTTCCGGACCTTGGCGGCAGGGTAGCCGCACGTGGAGCACTCGTGCTTCTGGACGTGCATGGAGCGGCGACCGCAACGACGGCACAGAGTGTGCGTCTTGTTGTGGCGCTTACCGAAACTGGAGGTACCCTTGGCTGCGAGTTTGTTAGTATTCTGCTGTCTCGTTTTTTCTTCTCTTGGTATGGTTGTCCTCCTCGCATTCGTAGCCAACAGCCATGTCCAACTATGTCCTCTCTTTCGTTGTCTGTTGTCGGTTCTGTCGTCATCATGTGTAATGTACCGTTGGCGAAACTTTCGGTGATCGTGTCGGTGGCGTATTCTCTCGGGTTGGACATCTTTGTCATCGTCGGTGTCCCCATCTTGTGATGTCGTCAAGTGCCTGGCAACGTCTCGATTCAACACGTGGAATCACAATGACAGCCTTGACGAAAATTTCGACTATCCAGCACTGTCGCTCGTCGGCTGGCCGTCCTTCCTCATCCTACATTAAGCGCATGTCGTCGTTCGTCGTCACAGACTCAGCGGCTTCAAGCACGCGGCAATATCGATTCGCTCTATCCGAGCCGGGAACACCGAGACCGAAACTGTTGAGTGAAACAAATCGAAGGTTCGCGATTGGGACGGGCGACAGAAATCGAAACAGATACATAATCGAGAGGCTTTGTGGATACGTCCGAGTTTTGGCGATGGCGATGCAAGTGCTCGAAAGGGCAAAAAGGGCAAAAAACACGTACTCATTTTGATGGCTTGTCTGCGTGACGGTCAGTCAGATGTTCAACATGCAGTCGAGGCGACAGGAAAATGGTTGTCGTCGTCGAGTATGGTATTTTCTCGTTCGTTCTGCGAAATAAAACGCACCTTTAGGACAAATTGATGGGTGTGGTTGTCGATGATGTGAAGTTGGAAAGGTAAACCGAGGAGGGGGAATGAACAGCGGAGAGAATCGTCACGCCCTTAATTTTTTGCCTATGGAGCGTCGGCCGACAAAGAATTTTTCTTGCGCTGCGGCTTTCTCACTTTGGGGGCACCATACTAAGGAGACATGAAGAGCATGGACGCTAAAGTAAGCCCCACTTAAAATACTGGACGGGTTCTATTCACACCAAAAAAGTCAGGGCACGGCTCCACTGTGCAGAAAATAGGGCAAATACCGGATTATCCCTGATTCCGGAGAAACTCAAAGCTTACGTCACGTTATAAATCATGACTTGTCACGTGCCTTTAAATCAGTTACAGAAATCGCTACGTACGATCAAGTCGGCCACATACATTGACAAAGTATGAAGTTTGTCAGAAAACGCGAATGGTATCGTGTATGGTGTATGGTGCTTCACGGGCGTCAACTGCAAAGCACGACGTCCGTATAATGCGATTCCCCTTGGTCATGGAGGTGAATGTAATGAAATGCAAATTGGTATCTTGGTAATGACAAATCGCTACAATAATACGTCCCCAACTATCCGTATCCTGGTTTCCAGAGTTCAAACGCCAACAGAGCCGGGAGGCCAACAATGCTGCTTGTATTTTCCCTGCTTTCCCATGACGCCCGTCATCGGAATGGACGGCCCAGGATCTCAATTTTGACGTTGCTGCTGCTGCCGACCGTGGCATTGTGGTCCTCGTCCGTCGGTCCTCCCTCGTCGCCGCCGAGATCGACCTCGTAGCCCATGCGGTACACAATGGATACGCGGCCGTCCTTGCCGGTGCCGGTCAAGCCGTCGCTGGGACGGACGGTGACGGCCATTTGGGAGTTTAGGTTGAGGGAGCAGACGGCCGAGGCGGTCGCGTCGGCCGTACTGTCGGTAACGGGGAAGTGGATGGGATGGGCGAATTCGACCACCATGGAGACCATGGCATTGTGGTAGAGCTGGGCTGTCAGAGCGAATGCCTCTTCATTACACAGTCAAAGGTAGTACACAAAGAGATGGTAACAAAAAGAACCTACATATGTCGCGCTGTCAATGGCGAGCAGCCACTTCGCGACGCGCACGTCGTCGTCGTCACTGGACAGCATCATGCCCATCTCCGGGTTGTCAAGCAGCAGCACGGTGCGCTCAAACTTTTCGCGCATCTCGTGTGCCAAGTCCTGGACGACTTCGAGGGAGGCGTCAAAGGTCAAGGACGGCGGGGTGGGCGGGGTGGTGTTGTGATCGGTGACCAGCGGCAGGAACTGGTTGCCGACAAAATGGATGTGGCCCTGCTCGAGGTGCCATGCGAGGTCGATGTCGAAGGGGGCGAGGTGGTTGGCATAGTAGCTGAAGTTGTGTTTGAAGGAGTAGATGACGATACCAATGTTGCTCTTGCCGGTCTCCGGGTTGATCGTGCAGTGGCGCAGCCAGTCGCCGAGCAGGCGGATGGTGAGCCAGCCGCAGCCGACGCCGTCGATGCCGTGGATCGTGAGGAGCTTGGCGTCCTTTGCGGCGTTGAAGGCGGTCTGGAGGCCGTCGGGGACGACACCTTCGCGATCTTCCGACATCGTGGCTGTCAAATGTGGTTGGCAGAGCGGTTCGGCGGAAGGATGGAATGAAAAAGTATGCGTCAAGAACCACCAGGGATGACAAACTAGGAAAAACGTAAATAGGCGAGACGAATCGACAAGTAGAAAATCCCTCCCAAAAAACAAGACTAAGCTGGAGCCCAAGGAAATTGATCGGCTAAGACTTGTACTGAGCAGAGGAGGATAGTTTGGAATTGGAGAGAAACGGTGATGATAGACACCACACGTGGTTTTCGAAGAAGAAGAAAAATAATAGCGAAAGTAATAAAGAGATCTAGGAGGCACACGAGGCAGAAACAGAGATGAGGTACGGAGGTAACGGAGTGGACGGATAACAAGTGGGATCAAAGCGGAGAAGCGGTGTGAGATGGACGTGGTTGGGTTGGATTGGCGATGGACAGCGAATCCTTTCCAGGTCTGCTCTGAAACTCAAGTGAGGGAGAATGAGAAGACGCATGGGAAAGTACGGAGCAGAAGACTAGAAGAGCAAAAGAGCAGGAAAACAGACGATAAGACGACATAGATGGGCGGAGAAATCGTTGAGCTCTTATACTTTCCGGGAATCAATTGCTCCGTACGGGATCCTCGTCTAGGACGGACGTCTTGGCTGGTGCAGGAGTGTTTCGTCAGGGAGAGCGGGAATAGAAAGCGGAATGGTGAGATTGTGAAAAAGCGGCGAGGGAGGTTGCAATCACAATTGTACGTTTTGTCGCAGAAGACAAAGTCACAAGAAGGTATCAAACGGAAAAGGAAGGTACAGAGGAGGTCGCACAGATACACATTCTTGGCAGGCAGACAGGTCAATTGACAACTCAACGACGACAGGGAAGGAGCTTCTTTGGTTTGAAGGGTGGCCGTTGAGGTCAGGAGAAAGCAACGGTAGGAACGACTGACAGCTCACCAAGAAAAAAAGAGGATTTCGGGCGACGAGCGGACGGCAAGAGGGGTGGGGCCGCACTCCAATATTGGAGTGGCCCAAACCGTTTGGGGCATCGCCTGTATTTCACCAGCGGCTCCCCATCCATTGATTTACAAGGCGGCTATGTCGTACTCCGTCCAGGGACCGCAGTCTGAGAGGACGTCACGTTTGAGCCTGTGGAGAATGGAATAAGATACAATGCAATTGGTCTATACAACTGTATGTTTGCCATTCATCGACCGATGTCAAAAGGTCAAGAACACGACATCCGGGGCAGAAGAGAGCTTGGACAGCATGTCTTTCTCGAGGAAGAGAAAGACAAACATGACGGCGCATTGAAAAATGGCGAAGGGGATTTTCATAGCTCTTTGGAGCTTCTGGCGTCGTAGTGCAGCACCCCGGCCAGCTGAAATCAACGCGCCACAGGAATTGTCTGTTGGTTGCTTTGTCCACCCCCAGGCTAAATCGACCATTTTGGTCGACATGCCTGCACAGGGATGGTGGGGAAGAAGCAAGTTTTATTGGTTCCTGGAGGGGAGTGAAACAAAAGAGAAGAGGACGGGAAGAGGACGGGCGGGAGCATGAGAAGAGGGGAGCATCAATTAACAAACAGCTGAAAGGACAAATAGAAGTCCGAATACGATTTACGAGATGAATCTTATGAAGAGAAAAGAGGCGGAGAGAAAGAGGGGAAGTAAGACTCGTGACAGGGAGAATGCTGGTCGGACGAGATCCGACAGATCCCAATTTCGACGTCGAAAGCGAGCTGATTGCGGCGCCCGAGAGAACAAATTTTATCAGTGAATATAAGAGTCGAGATATAAAGTAGTCACGATGTGCACCTGCACTGGTAGGAGAACGGAACCACCCGCGGCAGTACGTCGCAATCTTCCGGGGACAAAGCAGAAACGTCCTTTCTGACAGAGCGCAAGTGTCGGCCGAGCCCACATTAAAACCATGGCGTACTGTGATACTCTGCCAGTCGGATTTGTGGAATATTAACTTTGGTGGTTTTTCAATATTATTTCGTGATTTGCTCTCTCTTAGTTTGGGGGGAGCAAAGCCAAGCAGGGTCGCTGCCTTCCGGAAATGTGTTTGTCAACTTTTGCCCTCGTGCGCCTTTCGTACAGAGTGATGGGTGCCATGCAAAAGATTGCCCATGTCCATGGGAATTTGTACGTGGTACCATTTTTGTATATGTCTCAGATCAGCGTTTGAAAGTAGACACGTATCGTAGCAAAGTCTGCTCGCTCTAAAGGGGCTCGTCAAGCTGTGCTGTTAATCTGCAACTTCATTTGCCGTCGGATTGCTGGCTAGTTCTCTTTGGAGGCGATACGCCCTGGTCACATTTCATTTTACTCCCGATTGCTACTTTGCCCAGAAACAGATGTCCAATGCGGTGTGATGAGATTGAGTGTTTGCTCCACGAAACTAAAGTTGCAGCTTGTCTTGATGGTTCCGTGTGATGAGATCAAGGACTGTGGGGATTGCATCGTGTACGACGCATGTTTTGCCTTTGTGCTTTTGTGATTTGCACTTGTCCATGTACCCCAGTAGGACACAAGCGCTCAACATTGCTCGTGACAACCTGAGCAGAGCTAGTAACTCTGGCTTGCTGCGGATCACGGACCGGTGCCGTAGGATCATTCAGGGGGCGGGGAGACCGGATCGACTGCAGCGGTAGTGAACTGGGATAAGCTTGAATGTGTTCTTGGGGCTACGTTTGGTGAGGTATTTTACATATATGTAAACGCTGTGTATAAAGTGCTCGTACGAAATCGCAAGTGTTTACGTAAAGGTAGAGTTCGTCACAGACACGGTTAACAATACGAATGGCGCACATGTAATTACGTTGCAAATTTGACCGAGAATGCCCTACGGTGCGAGATGAGAAGGAAAACCACACAAAAGAAGTAGGGGCCAGCATTTACAGTATCGATCTGCTGTAGGATCTTTGGTGATAAAATATTTCTACAAAGCTTGACTAACAATAGATCATCACTACCTTTACATTTGCAGCCGACGTCGCAGGTAAACACTACGGTTGTGAGATATGGTTCTGGAATAAGGAGAATCATGTAAAATCTCCGCTGTCGAAAGTCAACAATGGAATCGTGCATTTAGTGCACTCCCACGGTCTTGTGCTCTGCCGTATCAAAAACACTCGAATCGTTAGCCATGCCCAAGCACAATATACCTTATTCCTGTTACTGAAATGGCAATCATGGCAGCGATATCTGATAACTCTCCACATCCCGTGGCTGATTCAACCACGACCCGCAAAAGTCGCCTTGTGTCGGCTAAACTGTCACGATACCCTATGCCTATATCGCCTTGCCGAAGTATGCCTACTTATTTAATTTTTAAACGACTTCCTGTGGCCCCTTCAAAGATGCGGCTGTCTGAGAGGAAATATGTGCCCATGACGAAAATGTAGAACGGCTCTCTCTGCCTCGCCTTGCCAAGACACAGAGGTGTGATGCACACACCGACGGCCACGGATCACGATGAAAATAAGCAAACAAAATATTGTGGCCGTCCTTGTGGGCATATGGTCGACTGTCGAGGCTGTCATTGTGCCAGTTACCGGGATTCACACTGGGATCAACCCAGAGCGGGGGACATTTCCGCCACGACTTCGCATCCAAGACTTGCAAACTAGTGGTCCTCAATGGTAAGGGAATATCAGTAGATTTATGAATCAAAGTTGTGTGCCAAGGACCACAACCACAGCTAACACGATAGGGACCTCTACATCCAGGCCATGGCGGCCTGGAAGAGCATGCCAGAGGACAACGAGCTGTCCTATTTTGGGTTGTCGGGCATCCATGGCCGGCCGTATGTGGCTTGGAACGGCGTCGAGCAAGTCGAGGGTGCGCCCTTGACGGGCTACTGCACGCACAATGAGGTGCTATTTGCCATCTGGCACCGACCAATGGTGGCTGTCTTTGAACAAGTCCTGGCGCGGCATATCCAGGCCGCGGCTGCTCTCTACAACGCCACGCCATCCATCGCCGAAACGTACCGCCATGCCGCCGATACCTGGCGCCATCCGTACTGGGACTGGGCCCTCGACAAGGCGCTGCCAGACGCCGTCGTGACGCCCAATGTGACAATCCGCGCGCCGCCCGATGGACGCACCACGGCGACTCCGGCCAACCCGCTGCGCTACTACCGCTTCCACCAGTTCCCGCTCAACGCCACGCTCTTCCCAGCCGACGACGACTACCACCTGGCGTCATTTCCAACGACGCTGCGCTGCCCGGACCCGTTCAACAACTTTACCAGCAACCAGGGCATGGCCAGCGCCAACATTGCGGGCATCGACTTGGCCGGCCAGGTGTACAACATTTACACCCGTGTCGCCGACTTTGGCAGCATGAGCTCGACGGCCTGCGACAGCACGTCCTTTGAGCAGGAGCACAACGAAGTGCACGTGGCTGTGGGTGGCATCCATCCCATGGGCCACTTTGCGCACTTGGGCTACAGCGGCTTTGATCCGCTGTTCATGATGCACCACGCGGCGATTGACCGGCACGTCGCGCTGTGGCAGGCGGTGCACGCCAATGCGTCCATGTTCGGCCCGCAAGAAGACTACCAGACACAGACGGGGCAGTTTGCCACGGCGCCGGGCACCAATATCACGGCGGATAGTCCTCTCAAACCGTTTTTTGCGTCGGCCAACGGAACGTTCCACACGCCCAATTCGGCGAGGGATATTGCGACGTTTGGGTACTCGTACCCGGAACTGCTGACGGCGCAGTTAACTGCTCAAATAAATAGCATAAATGGCAACCGATCCGTAAATGCGAGCTCCAGGACGAAACTCCGTCAAGCCGTCACCGCCGAAATCAACCGACTTTATGCGCCGAACAGCGTACCAGCGACGAAACGACGTCGATCCCGGTCGCGTACGGTGGCGTCAACGCCGCAGACGGTCTATTTTGTCCGTATCGCCATCGAGAAAGCAGGCCTTGCATTGCCTGCCGCCGTCAATGTATTCCTCGGCACGACGCTGGCTGGCAGGCTACTTCTCCTGGCGAGTCCACCAACTGGCCGCGTCCATGGCGAGATCGGCCTCGAAAACACCTTGCAGATCAGTTCGAGCCAGGACATTAATGTGGCCATGGAGGACGTTCTTCGTCAACGGTTCCGCTGGGAGGTCGCCACTGTAAGTTGCAACATACACGTTCGTGAAGAGCAATGCATTTGTTCAACTGACAACCCAAAGCTCTCTGGAAAACCTGTCCAGCTTAGTGAGACACACAATGTGACTATCCAGGTCCGCGAAGAGACTGTTCACCTGCCAGAGAGCACAGAAGAGTTTCCCATTTACACAAATGTGCGCATTCTAGATGACCTTGGGACAGAGAAAACCACCGAAAAATGAGCATGGAGGAAGGGCAAAAAATTGCTTGCAAAATGATATACGTCCAATTGTGGAATGTCAGCTCAAATCAGGAAGCATGAAGGTGGAAAGCAATATAATTCATAGGAATAGCCATGGACACATAAAGAAATAGCAGGCACAACAAGGAAAGTTCAAAGTCCCCATTACCCCCAAAGGAACCCCGAAAAAATAACATAGTGAATACAGCCCTTCTCCTTGGCGCTAGAAGTCAAGGGACAATCAATAAAACCCAGCACTAATGCGAGATAACAAGAAAAAGAATCAGACGGGAGTCGAAGACAGTAAAACGAAGAAACCAAACGAAACGCTGCACATTCAAAACGCAGGGCGGCGAACAATGAAGAACTCGAAGGACAAGGCGAGCGGCGGCTGGCGGGCGTATGCCGTACGATCGTCACAAAAGAGTAAACGAGGCGTGACACTCAATCACACTGCATCACTTCCCTTCCGAGAAACAGCAGCCGCCATTGGATGAGAAGCAGCAGCCGTCGCTGTCAGAAAAGCAGCAGCCGCCATTGTCTGAAAAACAACAACCGCCCGACGACGAAAAACAACAGCCATCTGACGACGAGAAGCAGCACCCATTCGTCGTCGAAAAACAGCACCCGCCCGTGTCGGAAAAGCAGCAGCCCGGGTCGTACGACGGGTCCAGTGTGCTCTTGCGGACGCCCGTCGAGTGCTTGCAGGTCCGGGATCCATCGCTCGACGTGCTGCTCATGGGCTCGGATGATCTGTAGCCCGAGGACGCAGACGACGATGTTGTCGGCCGTGGCTCGGTCCGCGGCTGGGCGGCGGCGGCGGCATGTGCACCCGCACGAACATCATCACCAACACCGTCCATCGAGTGACGGGGCGTCTGCGAAAGCGCCGCAAGAGGGATGCCTTGCGCTGTCAGAACTGCCGAGACCGCCGCCGCCGCTTTGCTGTCGGCATCTTCCTCGAGCTGATAGGGCGGGGGCGGTTCGTTGTGTTCCATTGCCCGTGGGTAGTGGGGAAAGATCTCGAGTTCGGTCGGGGCTGCAAGGTGAATCAATAGTCACAATTGCTGCGTATTTGCGATCCGCGATTCGATTGTGATATCCTTTTTTCTTTTGAAGGATACTTAAAGATGCCCAATGGATCAGACGCTCTTTCCCTCTCGTCTTTCTCTTTCGTCCGATGCCTTTGTTTCTTTAACTCGCACCTTCCCAAATCTTCATTCCAAGTGGCCTTTAAACGGCTGCCTAAAACAGGGCTGGTACACCTGCTGCGGCTAACAGCCGAGAACGCCAAATTGTGTCGTAAGCCGTGCCCGAGAATAGCAATGTCACGTGTTGCAGGTTAGACAACATCTCATCCAAGGGATATCTTGATCCATATCCAGCCAAATCCTGAAGACACACGTAAAAAGTGGTCTTCTGGAAAGGTGTAGACATACCCGTCATTTGGATTTGGCTGTGGTAGTTGGGAGCATTAACAATGAGAAACATATGTGATTTTTTTTTTTTAAAAAAAAAAAAAACCAGTTGAATATATTTTATTTGTTTTAGTGACCCCAACTTATTACAGGTACATTGTATTACTATACGTATTTGAAAAACCCTTAAATATCTTACATTTATCAAAGTAAATATGATAATAAGGCTTTCTTTCTTGATTTTTTTTTTTTGGCAAAATAGTCGAGGCTATTAAAATGTAGAAATAACAATTGTCTTAGCCGCTTCATACCCAAAACATTTGTTATTCAGAAATATATTGTCGTTTACAGAGCCCCGACTTTTGGGACTCGTGCAACAAGCTCGTCCTTAAAAGACAAAACATTACCATTCGGGGGACACTTTAGGCGAAAAGGGAGATGTTCTAGGACACAGGTAATCACACATATAAACAAGGAACTTTGTTATTATCCAACATCGGCCATACACTGAATTCATCACTCACTTTACATCAAATCCCAAAATTCTCTGGTGGACGAAGGTTAACGCACAACCCCTGCCTTTGTGGGGTTTCGATCAGGTCATTGCCTGCAGCGTTCTAGTGCCACTCCGGCGACGCTCTGCAAGCCGAGAAGCACCGACAAGTTACAAACATTGAAACAATACAATGATGGTTTGCTGTGTCACCTAGAAAGAAGAAAAACGCGGTAGGTGATCAACGATTGACAATATGAACAACCCCAGAAGAAAAATATTATTGAAATGAAAAGGTGACAACGGCTACGTTATCTGTTGATCGTCCAAGAAGACAACGATGAGAACCTCAAACCATCAAAAAGTCATAAGAACGGTGCAAAAATAAAACACATCAAAAACACCGCGTAAGTCGCGTAAACATGGAATTCTCATAGCCAAAGAGCGCCGACCAAAAACAGAAGGGAGCCAACGCCGAGTGATGCAACTGTCTTGATGCCGGAGCTTACGACTACTACCGACGGCGAAGGGCGAGGAATAGACGTCGTGTGGTTTCCTGCACTAGTGCCAGAGCCAGAACCGGAGCTAGAGCCAGAACCAGAACCAGAACCAGAACCAGAACCAGAACCAGAACCAAAGCCAGAGCCAGAGCCAGAGTGCGCGTTGGCGTTGGCGTTGCCCGAAGCAGACGAGCTAGAGCCGCCCGAGCCACCGCCATTGGCATTAGCATTGGCGTTGGCAGACGCGGAGCTGGATGAGCCTGAACCGCCAGAGCCAGCGTTGGCATTGGCATTGGCATTGGCCGAAGCAGAGCCAGAGGAGCCACCAGCGTTAGCGCTGGCCCCAGCGCCAGCATTGGCAGAAGCACCCGAGCCAGAACCAGAGCCAGAACCGGAGCCAGAGCCGGAGCCAGAGCCGGAGCCAGACGACCAGCCAGGGCCGGACGACGCACCAGACGAGGCCCAGGCGTTGGCGCCCGCTGAAGCCCAGGCACCTGCCGTGGCATACGCATTACCGGGGCACGTAACCGTGGCGGTCACGGGCTGCTTGCCGCACTCGGTGCAGGTGGTGACGGTCACAGTGAAGCCCGAGGGGATCTCGCCGGCCGTGCACGTGCAGGGCGCGGAGTCGCAGGTCTTGGTGATAGTGTAGGTCTTTTCCGTGACGCCCGTAGAGCAGAGGGCCTCGTATACGGTTGTGTACACGTAAACAGTGGGCTGCGGGACCGTGGTGATGCGTGAAGGCGACGAGCATGGCAGCGTCACAGTGATGGGCGCCAGAGTGGTGGTCAGGACACAGCTTTCTGGGTACTGGGCAGCAGCAGCGCCGCGAACAGCGACCTTGTGGTCGACAAGGGCCGATGCCACGGCCAGCATGGACAGGAAAGTAACTTGTGCAGCCTTCATGGTGAAAAGAGTGATGGGAAATAAAATATATTATAAAAAATATGTGATGAGAATGGAAGGAGAATTAAAAAAAAAGTAGCGAGTGACTGTATTGGATAGAGACCTCTCGATTGTCTTCCAAATGTGGTACTCGTAAAGAGTGACGATGAATCAACAAAAGGTAAAGAGTGTATAACGGCTCGTGATAATAAAGAGAGCGACGACAGAAAGAGAGGACGAACCTGTGCTTCTCACTTGAGGCCAGTAATGGTCGAATGTGTGTCTGGATGCTGTCTGAAGGAATAGGAAAACGAAGAGAGCAGCGTCACCGGAATCTATATATACAATGCATCATTGTGAGCAACGATAGCTTCGTTTCACAACCGTCAAACAGAGTACGGTGTCCTACTAGCACAAGTGGGCGTTCATTAGAGGCAGGCACAAGATGAGGCTAGTTGGTTGACGGAGAGAGCGCAGTCCCATTCCCCTCTGAGATACTCGTTGCTACTGAGTAGCCTGTTGTCCTACGTGTTTTGATAGGAAAAAGAAAACAAACAGAGACCGCCGAGAACCTTAAAAATGGTAGTAAACAAAAGACAACGGACGGGAATTAATGAAAATATGTGCAGAAAATATTCGTGGCCATGGCAATGAGGACGAGTATGGGCGGGCCGAAAGGAATGGAGAGGGTGTCGATGTCAAAGCGAGACTGTTCGCCATGAATGCGACTAACTCGCGATGATGGGTCTGGATCTGGGTCTGGGTCCGAGAAGCTAAGTCCAGCCACGATCATGAGAAACGGCCAGGCCGGAGGCATGAGCGCACCAGGAAGGAAAAGATGGAGCTAGTCAGGGGAGAGGGGAAGAACTAACAGAGAGCATTCTGTAGGATGTAAATATCGGAATGAGACAGCCATAGTCCACGTAAGTGAGTTTCGTATCAAACAAAAGAAAAATGGGAAGTGGACGAGGAGGCACATTGTAGCTCTGGTACAACAATTCCTTAATTGGCTAGTACATGACAAATGAACACATCAATCAACGGAGGACCTCAAACGTGACATATCAATGGCACTTTCTGGACGGTCAAGTCGGCATCTAGAGGCTGGTGTATAGCTATATTCGCAACAGGGAAAGCGGTTGCTGGTAAAGGACACGAGGAAGAAGATAGGGCTACAGGGGAGGTCAGAGATCTAACCACTGTTGGCATCACGATGTGGGAGACGAAGAAACCGGACGATGCAAAGGAGGAATGGTCAACAAAGAATGAAAGGAAGATGGAACAGCTGAAACTCAGGTATGTCGTACATGTTATATCGCTGCCTGAACCAGTGATAATATAAATCCCCGAAGGGATACTGAAGAGAACGGAATGGGCACTTTGAAAGTGCTGATGAGAGTCTGGTGACCCAGGGCCATAAATGCTAAAGAAGAAAATAAAACGTACGACGGAAATGACCTTCTCAGACAAGGGCAATTTGTTGTGCCAGAAACAGCGACCTTGAGGTACTTGACAGCGTCATATCTGCATTCTGCAGAGCGAGTGAAGTGGCCTTGGGGCAGCAAACAGGGATTGAGGAGACCGAGGTAGCTGAATGGGAAGGGGATAGGGGGGCGTGGAAAGTTTATGCAGTGGGCGCAGTGTGTGCAAGACGGCCGAGGGAAGTAAAGCCAGTGAGCATAAAAGGATAGTGACAGGAAAAAACGGACAATTAGCCCGTTAAGATGACTCTCTTCAAACTCGTGGGGAACGGAGAAGTAAACGACAAGATGTACATAAAATGCCGTACAAAGGAATGGCTTTCTCTATGCAAGCTATAGCTCACGATACAGGGTGGCGTGCTAGGAATTTCGATGTAAGTGGCTGTGTTGGAAGGGCGTGCAGTGAATGCCGCGGTCAAGAATGGAGCGTGGAAATGGAAAAGAAACATGAAGGGTCATAGAGAGGGCAAGAAAAGAATGTCTCAGAGAGGAGGTACGCTTGGAGTTTATGTGCAATAGCTGTACTTAAGTAAAAGGGAAAGAAAAGAATGAGTAGAAGAAAAAGAAGAGAATGACCAGGAGGGATAAACAAAGAGAGGATATGATAGAAAAAAAGGAAGACTGAAGAGCGGCTGGTGGAATCTACAATTTCCCGGGCGAGGACAGCTGAATGCACATTGTATAGATTAGCGGACGGTCTAGGCCGGTCTCGTACACAACGCGGTTATGCTTGGTGGATGAGACTCTTGGTGGAGTGGACTCGGCTAGAAACGACCGTCAGCGAATATGGCAGCCCAAAAGAGATTCAGCTGGTCGAAGACAGGTGGAGAGCCGAGGGACACGAAGATTGCCTGCCAAGGCAGGTCATTACCTTTTTGCGTATCATTTTTCTAGTCCCTTTCGGCGTAGAATACCGCGAGGTGATTCAAAAAGTGGAGATTTTGTTTAAGTAAGTGCGGCCTCCTATGTTGACAAGTTGTCCGGCATAAACAGGGTCGTGATGTGCTGAAGAAAAATGCATCGACCTTAAAATTTCAAGGGCAGCTGCAACGGCCGTAATTAAGGTGGCCTTGACAGCCTTAGCTTCAGGCAATATGCTTATTGAAGATAAATTTTCTTCCCGTTGCTGAAGCGAACGATACAGATAAAGTGATTATTTTTGGGACGGACAACGGGATCGGCACGTCGTAGAGCTCTGGTGCGGTATAAAGAATGTTACATGTCGTGGACGGGCAAGGCTTCCATTTTGGCTCTAAATTGTCACAGACTGGTGCAAACCCGAATCAGGAAAAAAGGTTCCTACATACAAAGCAAGCATTCCGGAGAAGAAAATATCGCTTTTGTGGAGGAAGTTGGACAATGAGACGTGACTTAACGTCCTGATGAAGGGAGCAAACGCGTGGGTGCAAGGGAGAGTCTTTTTGTTTTGTTTCTTTGTTCTGTTCTTGTTCCTTTTTTTCGTTTCTTTTTGTCAGGTCTAGAATTTGTCGGCCAGGTGCCTCTGTTTGCACAGGTGAAACATAGTCTCAGCTGCCCTATCATCAAGTATCATTTAAAACCCTCTCCAGTTTCCAGATGAGGCAACATCTTCACGATGTTTTGTCGATTGACACTAACAATTAAAGCACCATAATGCTCGAAACATTCCTGTTAGGTAACCATGAAGCTCAAGATTTGCACTGCCCCTACGGCAGTGAACAATCATGTTGGATTGGAAGGACATATGGGCTACAGTACACCCAAACTCTGGTATGATTATAAGAAATCCCGTTGTATTAAAAGAACGCTTGGAAAAGTCCGACTGGGAGACTGGGGAGACTGGGGAGACTCGAGAAGTGAAATATGTAAGGGAACCAAAATATACGAATGGACAAAGAACAGTCAAGGGCTGTCTCGAAATAGTGCTTTTCAAATAAACCATAGACAGAAAGGGGGAAAAAAATTGAGGCCGTCAAAGTGGAAGAAAGCATAAACAAACTCCTTAGAGCGGGGACATAGTGCCGAGAAACATTCCCCGACTAGACAGCCAATAGCTCCCGAAGACAGCGCCAAAAGCAGCAACGGTCGTGTTCTAGTGAGACAGATCTGCAACATTAACCCGACTTACACGACTAACACGGCAATGAACCAATGAGGAAGAGTAAAAGAGAAAGGGAGGACGTAGAACTAAGCTGCGTTTCAGATTAAAAAGAAATGTCGTGCACTTTTGGTCGAAAAGAAACTGAGGGGAGAAAACATAGAGAAAAGCCAAGAACGAAGAAATCAATAGACTCAGTAGCCGGCGCGAATACTCAAGTGCAAAAGAAAGCAGGGGCGAAATAAAAAACAACCAAACCCAGCCTTAAAAATAATTTCGAACGGTAAAGCAAAGAACATTACAAAACCAAAGGATATGCCTACGCTTCTCGGGGGTAGGTATGCGTAGAGTGAATGTTTGAATCAAAGAAACGCCAGGAACAGACAGATCTGGGACAAAATGCAACAGTTCCTTTCATGGTGCTCGCAATGAGTCTCAGACGTGGACATGTCAGAACAATGCACGCCAAAATTGTGGTATAGGAAGGGCGAGGCAAAACAAGTGCATAATTTCTTCGAGATCTAGTCCGAGTTTCCACCACAGAATAAAGTGCCTGTCAACAAGAAATGAATCTACCTCCTACGCATTCATCAGTAGACCGCGTGCCTCAAACCAGGCCTCTCCAAGCCGTTCTACGGTGGTGGACGAAAAGTATTATCAAGAACGACCTGACGAAATTTGTGTGAGTCCTAAACGCGAGATCATCTTGCGACGAACTATCTAAATCACCAACAAAGTCATGCGAAGCGTGTTTTTAAGTACCACCACGTTGAGTGATTGCCTTTCTAGTACAAGATTCTGTAACCTGGGCTGAGTGGCATGGGCTGAGTTCCATGAACTACCCAGCTAGGTCTCTCGCTGCCAGGGTCCAATTGCAAGACTCCGTCCGTATAAACAAAGAAGACACCTTTGCGATATCCGAGCAAGTGCTTCATCAGAGATGAGAAAGGCAAATAAACAAAACCATCAAAACAAATCCAGTCACCCAGCCAGTCATCCGTCTCCGATCGTGGCGAGAATCTAAGAGAACCGTGAAGAATGAACAAGACTGACTAAGTCAAGCAGTGGGAACCCGGATGCCGGATGCAGTATAAAGTAAGTAAGTCAGTTATGCACTCGAAATTCTGGACAGGTATTTTGAACGACTGCGTGGGAGGAAGGGGGGTGAATCCAGGCCGAACGAGTTCAGTATATTTTCTTCAGTGGCGACCTGATACGGGGTTGTCTCGCTGCAGCTGGAGCTTTCCCTGTATCTCTCCAGGTGTTTGATGTATTTTATCCTATTATTTCGTAAATAACTGCATTCTTCAATGCGCTGGATGTCCCTATTATCCCATTTTACTATTTTGTAACGGTCTATTATATTGTACTTTACTCACTTTTAATACGTGTTTGTTGTATGTTGTTAGGTTATTTTTATTTATTTTTATTTATTTTTATTTATTTTTATTTACTTTTATTTACTTTTATTTACTTTTATTTACTTTTATTTACTTTTATTTATTTTGCTTTCTTAAATGCACCTTTTTCTTAATTAAACTGTAATACTTTGCCGTTATTTCAGTTTTCTTCTTTGCTGACAATATGGTCAGAACCTAAAGTACTACCACGATGACGCCTGCATACAGATGACAGTGATGTTTACTCGAAATTGAAATCACGCTGTCTTCTAGATACGAGGATTCTTTTTGTCACAAGCGTGTTATCATTCACGCGTTTTGGTTCTCGGCAATAAGTTTGGCGTCCCTTTTTCTTTCACCCTTGTCATGTTTTGTCTTGAGAATGCACGACGCAGTTTTCTTTTTTTTCTCACGATGCCCCTTCCTTCGCTACTGTATATTTTGAAGGGTGTGCGTGTTAACTAGGGATACGTTCTGAGATGTTTTTAGACGTCATTCCTTTTTCGTATAAGTCAAATTTGACAACACACCATCCCACAGCATCCCTGTAAGACCACGCTTTGGCACGGTTCCACCCGCTAAATATGAGACAACTGTCACTCTGCCCTTGGCTGGATCATATGAGATGAGTGGTTTACAGTGTCGGTGAGCTGGCACTTTGTTAGTATAACGTTGTATGTTTTCGACCTTTTCACCTTTACTGATTTGTCTTCACTTCTTTCTGCGCCTTTCGGTCGCACCTTTACACTTCTTGGATGAGGCTGTCCAGCACAGTGGTCACATAAGATTGCATAAGGGAACGTCAGACACTGACGCGGGGCGTACCGAGGAAAGTAGACAGACACCTGAACGGGCAATGAACGACTCGTAAAAAGCAGTGGCCTTTGTTCGTCAGGGCTCGTTTCTGCACCCAAGGGAAAGCCAAATGATGCAGTTCTGGCCATCCAGGCTTGGTATCTGTTTCCTGAATGTGTTGCTTTGTTTCCACATGTTTGTCTCCTTTGCCTTTTGCTTCTTTTTCTGTGTCTTTCCAATCTTTCTTTTGCTGTTACTTTTTTTTATACCCCCTCTTGGTTGGTTCGCATATCTCCGGCTGGTGCTCTCCACTTTCGTCTCTGCGAACCCCCCCCCCCCCCCTTTCCAACTGGCTGGGCAGCTATTCAGGAACAATTTAAAAAAAAACAGAAAGCAGCCTAAGAAAAGAATGCTTGCTCTATGTCGTACTCTGTAGATAGTTTGGTTCGCCGAGCTTAGACCGGCCGACGAAACCGCTTCCTGAGCCATGAATGCTCGCAGATTGCACACGAGAAAGACCCCTCCATTTCTTCATGTCACCACCCAACACCGGCGCATTCCTTCTTCTCTTGCCTACACTCCCGATCTTGTTACACACCCCTATATCTTCATTCCCTTTGCTTTGTTTTTGCCAAGAGTGGCTAGGCGAGCCTCAAACACATGCATCCCAAAGACGCCCTTTGCGCGTTTCTCGTCTCCTCGTCTCCCTCCTGACTCGGCCTCCTCAGCGAAAAGTAAACAGATCTTTGAGAGCTAGCCAGTGCCATGCCCTTTCGACTCGTTGACCCCTGTGGCCAGGGCAGTGCAGCCAATATCGACGAAGGCCCAGAGGATAGTACTCTCAAATCACACACAATATGGCGGAAGGCCCTTACACGAAACCTGCTCCCGCAAGTCGACAAGATATATATTCTCGTGCCTCGCCGTCTACACTGCCCGTACGGACAGATCTTCGAATCATCGGAAAGAGTTACCTGTTCGACAGCACCGACGGTCGACCTCGCACGGCTTTTTGCTTTGTTTTTCTTTGTTTATTTGCCCTTCTAAAAGAGCAGTCTGGTTTGCAGCTGCCAAGTCGTTCTTTCGCAACTTGCCTTCACATTCATTCATTTTGTCATCTTTTCCTCTACCCTTAAATTCTAATCCCCTTTTACGAGTTTTACGTCCTACGTCACTCTATACCGTTAACCGTTTGTTCTTCTCATACATTTGCCCACCATGCATCTTTCAGTCGCCCGGGGCCTCCTGGCAGCCGCTGGCCTGATGGCTGGCGGCGCCGTGGCCACTCCGTACCCTCAGGCTGTGCCGGAGTTCTTCAGGCGTGCCATGGACGAGTGTCCTGCTGTTGTCACTGTCCAACCCATCGAAATCATTGGTCAGACGCCCGTGATTGTCGACGTCTTCATCCCAGCAAACACTGTCATTATCATCAACGAGATCACCATTCAGATCACCAACGCTCCTACGCAGGTGTCCACCACGATAACCTCGACCGTCACCACCACCAGCACGGTCACGACGTAAGTTTGCGCCCCATGCGCAGCGTCTTTACCTGCCTTTCATCATAGCTCATGCTGACTAAATAGTGGCCCCGGCGAGTTCACTGGTCCTTATACGACCATCACTGGTCAGTGGACCGGCACCACTCCCATCACCGTTTCCATCCCGCCTGGCAGCGGTGACCACACAGGCACGGTCATTATTGAGGTGCCCGAGACCACCACGCCCGCCTTCACGGGTCCTTACACCACCATTACCGGACAGTGGACCGGCAGCACGCCGGTCACTCTGACAGTCCCGCCTGGTCCTGGTGGCTCAACTGGCACCGTCATCGTCGACACCCCCAAACCCTCCGGTTCTACTGCCAGCTCTGGTGGCCCGGCTTCCAGCTCGGCTTCCAACTCTGCTGGTTCTTCTGGCCTGTCTTCGGCGGGTTCGTCGGCTGCATCGTCGGCTGCATCGTCGGCTGCCTCGTCATCTGCTTCGTCGGCTGCGTCGTCGGCGGCGTCGTCTAGTGTCTCGTCGGCTGCTTCATCCAGTGCCTCGTCGGTCGCCTCGTCTGCCTCTAGCGCTACTTCGTCTGCTTCTAGCGCTTCCTCATCGGTTGCTTCATCTGCCTCCAGCGCTGCGTCGAGCGGCTCGTCAGCTGCATCGTCAGCCACCTCGTCAAGTGCTTCGTCTGCTTCCGGCTCTGCTTCCAGTGCTTCCTCCAGTGCTGCCTCCAGTGCCGCTTCAAGCGTCTCTTCGGCCGTTTCATCTGCATCTAGTGCTGTTTCCAGTGCTCCTTCGAGTGCTTCTTCGTTTGCCGGGTCTTCATCTGCGGCTTCTTCTAGCGCCTCGTCTGCCTCGAGCGCTGCCTCCAGCGCTTCTTCGTCTGCCGGGTCTTCGTCTGCCGGGTCTTCATCTGTCGCTTCATCCGGTGCCTCGTCTGCATCCAGCGCCGCTTCGTCTGCTGCTTCGTCAAGTGCTTCGTCAGCCGCTTCTTCTAGTGCCTCATCTGTCTCTAGCGCTGCCTCCAGTGTTTCTTCGTCAGCCGCTTCTTCGAGTGCCTCGTCTGTCGCTTCATCCAGTGCCTCGTCTGCATCCAGCGTTGCTTCCAGTGCTTCTTCGTCTGCCGGGTCTTCGTCTGCCGCTTCTTCTAGTGCTTCCTCTGTCGCTTCTTCCAGTGCCTCGTCTGCTTCCAGTGCTGCCTCGAGTGGCTCGTCGGCTGCCTCGTCCGCCTCGTCTGCCTCCAGTGCTTCTAGTAGTGCTGCCTCGAGCGGTTCGTCGGCTGCCTCGTCCACCTCGTCTGCCTCTAGCGCTGCGTCTTCCAGTGCCGCTTCTTCCAGTGCCGCTTCTTCCAGTGCTGCTTCTTCCAGTGCTGCTTCTTCCAGTGCTGCTTCTTCCAGTGCTGCTTCTTCCAGTGCTGCTTCTTCCAGTGCTGCCTCCAGCGCTTCTTCAAGTGCTGCCTCGAGCGGCTCGTCCGCTGCCTCGTCTGCCTCATCTGCCTCCAGCGCTTCTTCCAGTGCTGCTTCTTCCAGTGCTGCTTCTTCTAGTGCTGCTTCTTCCAGTGCCGCTTCTTCCAGTGCCGCTTCTTCCAGTGCCGCTTCTTCTAGTGCTTCTCCTGGAGGCAGCAGCTCATCTCCGTCCGTCTCCAGCACATCGTCTGTTCCGTCTTCATCTTCTGCTGCCTCGTCTAGCGCAGGGTCTTCGAGCGTGCCCAGCTCCGTGTCCGCCACCCCGTCGTCAGCATCGTCGTCAGCATCGGCATCGACTTGCTACACCACCGTCACTGTGTCTGCCTCGGCCGCGTCGGCTTGTGTCACGGGTCTGCCGGTGACGTGCGAGGACCTCGCTCTGTACAACGACCTTGCCCTCCTTGCCCCTGCTGCTGTCTGTCTCGCGTCTCTCGGTGTGTACGGCACCGGCAGCGCCCTTACGTGCTTGACGACGGATCTGACTCCCATTTCGCTGGGCACCGATGTTGTGAAGTGTCTCAACAACGCCTTCGCGGGCAAGTGCATCGAGTCGCTGCCCGCTCCTTGCCTTGCCCTCGAGAATGAGTCTGGCATCCCACTTATCGCCGATTCCGCTGTTTGCTTGGCCGAGCTGGGTCCTTTCGCCGTTGGAGCCGTTGCGCAGTGCTTGGTCACGACGGGCATCGACGGAAACACCCAGGGCTACACCATCGTGGCCTGTTTGTACGATGCGCTGCATCTGAGCCCCCCCACGACCCCGACGGTAACCGCGATCCCGATCGATTGCCCGGCTCCGTCTTCTTCGGCCACGCCGGGCTGCAACGTCGACCTGCCCGAGCACTGCAAGGAACTGGCGGGCACCACCGGCGTCGCTCTTTCCGTGGACGCTCTGCTCTGTACGGCCGACCTGGGCGTTTACGCCGTGGGCAACGTCGCCGAATGTCTCGCGACAAATGTCATCACGACGGCGGTCACAGGCGATTCGATTATCACGTGTTTGGTCGATGCCCTCGAACAATCGTGCCCAGCAACGCTGCCCTCGGCCTGTTTGAAGTTGCAGACCGACGTTGGCTTACCGTCGTTGCTGATCGACATTCCTCTGTGTGTTGTCGCATTGGGACCGTATGCCGCGGGCGACGCGTTGGTGTGCTTGTCGACGACTGGTCTCAGCACCGGAGCACTGGGTTCAAGCATTGTCACCTGCTTGGAGAGCGCTCTGCACATTATTGTATGAGAAACGGCGGTTGTTTAGTGAGTTTGTTGTTTACAAGGCTAGTTTTGGGGGGATTCAGTGACGGGAAGGCGCCTTTGGGAAGTGGAGCAGGAGCGCCCCAGAACTTCCCATTCACCAGAATCATGACTTTTTGCTTTTCTACTTTACCTGATGTGCTGGATCGGTTGTTACATGTTTTCACTTTGTAATCTTCTTCTTCTCTTTCTGACTACACCCTATCCGTCTAATTTTATGTGAGACGCGGGTTTAATGTCGTTGTTGGAAATGCAACGTTCTTTTTTATGTTTAATATCGCGGCTGGATGCTATGAGACACTGCAGTTATCACTGATTGGCGCTGAGAAGTCTCTCGTCACTCATTCCTTTCTGCAACAGGCCGTATCATTACGCAGCTGTTCGTAAATCTTCCCCGAAGTTAAGTTCTCACTTCCGCACATAGATTTCTGCGTCCTTTCCTGTCGTCCAATTCGCCTCGTGCCTGTCACTTTTTTCTATATGAAATATACATTTGTTTTTACTCTTTCCACTTGGCGCCCACCGCATGCTCCCTCCAGTCGCTCAGCCAGCGCAAAAATTTTACTATTTGTATGTTGTATTGGGAAGTACTGTTGCTAGACACCGTGCTGATGCAATATCCTGAATTCAACGCAAATGTCCAGCAACAAGTCCTTGGCTAGCCTGTCCCGTTTCATTTACAGCCACCGCTGCGTGCCGTGGTGCGAAACCATCTTACCGCCGTCCTTTGCAATGGTGGCGTCCCCAATAACTTTGATCACGGCTTGCGCCGACTGCGTGGGCGTCAGCATCACCGGCTCCCAGTGCGGCGCGTACGCCTTGAATAGGCCGACAATGCGCGCCATGGCCTCGTTCTTGTTCGCCGCGTCTGCCTCGGTCAGAGGGTTGTTCGGGTCCGTGGCAAACTCCGTGTCGACCAAGCCGGGCGAGATGGCAAAGACGAGGACACCCTTTGGCTTGTACTCAAGGTGGAACTTGGCGACGGCCATGTTGAGAGCTGCTTTGCTGATGGCGTAGGGGCTCTGCATGTCCATGCCGGACTGGAGGATAAAGTCAATGTCGCCAGCGCCCGAGGAGATGACGACAATCTTCTTGAGCTTGCTCTTCTCGACGAGGGGCGCGAAGAAAGCGACCGACTCGATGGTGCCGACGACGTTGATGCGGAATGTCAGGTCCATGTTCTTCTCAAACAGCTCCGGGTCCGAGGTGACTTCGTCCGTCAGAAAGCGGTTGACAGGGATGCCAATGGCAGCATTGGCAATGAAGACGTCGACAGCGCCTCCGGTGATGGCCGCCGTCTCGGCAGCGGCAGTCTATGAAGAAAACCAGTCGTCTTAGTACAGTTTACGACTGCAAAGGGAGGCCAACGATGATTCGACACGTATACCAGCAACATACCTCGAGCGATTTCCGGTTGGCCAGGTCGGCATAGACGGTATGAATGTTGGCACCCGGGATCTCAGCGGCAAACTTGGCCTTGGAAGCCTCGACGTTGCGTACAAGGCCGACGACGGTATTGTTCTTATCGGCTGCAAGCTCCTTGACCAGACCAAACTGTTTGAATAGAACAAATTGTATTAGCTGACCATGCTGGCATATGACGCCATTTCACACCACCCGGTTTAGTTTGGTCGTGTCAACATACTCCGATGCCACGAGAAGCGCCGACAACCACGTAAGAAGGCATGATTGATGTGGTGTTTTGGGCAGACCGGGAAGTGATTTGTTGGCTGGATAGCTGTATGAACGAAGATAGGGTCAAGTAGAGTCAACGGCGTGATAAATGGAGAACAGCGAGACTATCAAGATTTGAAATTTTACAATATAAAACAGGGCGTTGATGATGTCGATTATCTCTCAACTCTTTTCGTTTCGCGAGAAATCGTCCCCCTTTATATCACGACGTTGACTTCTTTGATTCCTTAACTCCTCCATATTGACATCAGCTGTATCCCTGAAGTTCCATCAAAAGTTGATTATTGACCGTAAATTCCGTCTTTTGTTGGACCGCCGTTGTAAATTCCGTGTGCAACTGGCTGCGAATCCCGTCTATGACAAATGTCGCCGCTTGTAACTAGTGCACAAACCGCGTTCGTGAAGCACAACGTATCTTGGCGATGCCGGTTGCCACGACAGTTAGCGAGCGTTGATAGCTAGCGCTATTGCAAGGCAGACGTCAAAACTCTACGGCATATTGCCTTATGTTGCTAATTTCTAGCAGTTTCTTCGGGCTCGCTCAGAGTTGCCATGTTTCTCGGAATGGCTTTCCAAAGAGGGACTGAACACTTCGCCTTTGCACGCTGCAAGGATTCTATGCTGGAGCCACGCCAGCCGCACATGATTTGGCAGTTCTCAATAAAACCGACCCGCCGTCCTTGTAGAATAACCCAATTACTCTCCGCAACTTGTTTCCCTTTTTTTTTCTCGTTTGTCAGCATATTGACGTAAGGTTCAGACCACAAAATTGTCGCGCAAACTTGGCCTGCAATGGTCTGTATCGATCCGGTTCCACCATCGATTGGAGTCAGATTCTTATCTACTCATAGGGCTGTGAAGAACGTTGATGCACATGCTGCAGTCCGTTTCCTCCGTAAGAGATGTGGCCCAAGGGGGGACTTGCGGAGAATTGACAACCCGTTCGCACTTCTCCGCTTGTTTTACTCGGTTCTCACTCGCTCGCTCAGACTTGCCAGACTTCCATTTTGGGGAAGAGCGGGCCATGCTAGATCGACCAGTGGTTCCTGCCCTGTCAAAAAGAATGGCGCCCCACTTGGTCAAACCCGAATGAGTGTTTGTCAGCTGGATGCTGAGAGCATCATTCTCTTTGAATGGCAAGGACGATGGAGGGCACGGAGGGCACACGACAGAACAGGAAGGCAACACAATAATCACCAAAATCTCATACAGAAAACAACATTCGGAAGGCTGGCCAGTGCCATAAAATTGGAAATATCAAAATACCAAGCACCCCAAACCATCACATGAGAGTCTGGAACAACCTAGAACATAAAGAGTGCTCCACATCGTGTAGATGTACCAAAAGAACCGAATGTTCCATTCTCAGAGACACCATTGCAAATCGTACTACGCAGGCACAACCTTACCACGCGAGTGCGCAAAGCATATCTGGACCAATGTCGGCACAAAGGACTCGAAAGACTGCAGAGGCTCTGCGTTGCTCGACATGTAAAGGTATGTAACTCATCTCCGACATGAATTATCCTATGAAAGAAAAGCAAACCTTGCCGGGATCAGACGCGGAAGGGCACGTCTGCCGAAGTTGTTCCCACCGTCTGAAGGAGCGTGAAGCTAATCGAAGCGAATCACGACTGCTACGCGTGCATATTCTCCAGAGCGCAAAATCAAGTGCGATGGAACGCGGCCCGTCTGTCAAAACTGCCAAAAGGCGCATCGGGAGTGCCGCGCAGGCCATGCCTTTGAGTTGTCGTGGCCCAAGCCAAAATCAAGGCGGGCTCTAGAGGGCCCCAAGAACGACAGAAAGTACTTGATGGTGCAAAGCCGGATGCACTCTCGCTTGGTTCACAAAGGCGGCAACAGCTACTACTTTGTCAATGTGCTTTCTGAGCAGGTCGCTGCACACCATCTGCTTCCGTACGTATCGACTAGCCAAGGTATGTGGTACCTGTGTGACTAAATATGGGACGATGAGCCCAGGGTTGTCTGCCGTTTCTACTACGTTTGCTATGCTTTTTGTGTCGGCAATGTACGTCGTTTGCCAGCGGCGTGGACTCGGCGTTCTTTGGAGTCTTGGCGGGCAACTTTGAGCGAGCTCGGCTTTGATCGTCTTGGCCGTCCACCACCTCCCTTTCACTAATTTCGTCAATCTTTCATCGTTGATGTAGGCACACGATCGATCTTATTCGACCGCACGTACGCAGAAGATCCGTACCTGGCTGTTTTGCCCAACAAAGCGCCATCTCTATACGCTGACTTCGAACGGCTCCAATCGGACGGGTCGGGCCTTATGTCTTACTGTATGTGAGGAAAAATTGAGTTCTCGACAGTTGCACAAGGGCGACGTTCTACTCGCTTTCGTTTGGAATCACAACGCGTCCCATTTCCTACCTCCCTCTCTACACAGCCCAGTCACGTTAATTCACTGTCAAGCCTCAAACTCCTACCCAACCTCGTTTCGGCTTCCTGCTCTGTCCCTGACCTATCTGTCCCCCTACCACTACAACCTCATATATTGCACATCTATCTACAAATATGTATCTTTTACTCACGTGAATATCTTGTCTGACCCAATTTGCTATGTCGTTTAGTCTACCACGAAGCTTCCAACTCCTTGCCCCAGCTCGACAATGAGCCGCAGCAGTTCCGAGACCTGCTGCTGCGGATGTCTCTATACGACAACACAGCCTCTTCCAAAGCGGTTCTTTACTCTCTCTTCTGTCTGTCTGCACTGAGGCGCTATGGAAATGTCCAAGAATGCGCTCATTTCAAGATCTTGGCACTCCAGTCGCTTCAGCAGGCGGCCAAAATCGAGGGCATCGGTGCGGCTCACATCCTGCAGCACATGGCCGCCGGCCTACTACTGTGCCGGGCCGAGATCAGCCTGGGCGACGACTCGAACGTCTTCTGGGCCCTGTACATCTGCAGTCTTCGAACGGTCTGCAGCCACTCCCTCAATGAGAAATTCAAAAGAGGAGAAGTCATTGACGGCGACGCCACCATTCTCTACCGATACCTACATTACCACGACATCTTAGCCCAGTTTAGCGTGAGCCATTGGCAACGGCCAACGGACATGGTGGGGGAACTGAGCATGACTTTCAAAGGCCAAACCGTGGAATTCAAATGCACCACCCACTTTGACCGTGTAAGTTTGCACATGCAGCGAGAAATAGACAGAGTTGGTCTGTTGGCACTTGCGGTATACTGAGCAAATTGGGGCGCTCACATTACTGATAAAAGACACATCTCCAGTTCTACTATTGTGGCTGGGGCGATTATCTCCAGTACGAAATCCATATTCTGTCCTTGGTTCTCAAGGCCTCGAAAGAGGCACAATTAGACCTCGAAGTCCATCCCGGCCAAAGCCACGCCGAAAATGTCAACCGCCTAGAAGCGGAGATCAACGAGTTCCTGAAAAACAGCAAGTTGGCCTGTGCCGACCTTGGCTCCGTCGACGAGAAAAACCCAGCCGCGGCGGCGGACGCCGGATTGCGGCTACAGCGCTATCTCTTCATGGCATCCACTTGGATCTATTTTCAGCGGACGTGCCGCCACTTGACCGGCCCGTCGGCGGCGGTGGATGCATTGTTTGATGAGATCTTTGCCATGAGCTCCGACATGCAACGCCTCGACGTCCGCATCACACCCTTTTCTCTGTTTTTGATCGGCGCCGAAGCCAACACAGACGCCCGTCGCCGGGCCGTCCTGGATGTTATTCACAGCCGGCCCGAACTCATGCCCGTTGCATCCAAGGCGCTCGAACTGCGCGGCGACAAATCGACGCCATCGTACGTTGATTGCCTCGTCGCTGCGGCATGGGCGCAAGACGACCTCCATGACGACTCCGACGGCTACCTCGATTACGTGACCAAGATGCAATACGTGATTTCGGCCAGGGCAGTCCTTCCCGCTCTTGTGTAAAGCATCGTGTTTGCCTAGACAATGTCGACAAAGGCTCTTTTTGGCAGGACCGTAAGAATGGGGCCCTCAGGTCTGTGTGGTCATGAAAATAAATTGGCTTGAACGCGGCCCTCGATATTAAGCCGCACGTGCGAATGCGGCACGCGTCTGGTCATATGTTGCTGCTTGGCCTCCCGCTTCCCGTCTGCTGCCCTCCATTTCATCTCAAACCAGAAGGTCTCCAAAGCCCGGCTTTCATGTCGAGGCTTTTCATATATTTCACATTTTCGCTCCGACTGCCGTTAGTAGAACGAGACAACAATTTACTTACTGCGCAGGCCTTGAGGTTCCAATGGTCATGATTCGGTGTCACCGTCATATCTTGAGCAATCTCTGTGCAGTATATTCTTTTGAATCTACGTCACATTTACTTTTGGCAATGGTCTTTTCCACATTTGCATTTCCGACGTTCGTCGTTTGATGTCTCGCTGGTCATATCTCCTCCAGTTGTCTGATCTCAAAGTGGCAGGTGAATTTGTCGATTGTAACGTCCCAAAGAAGAAAGACGACAATCTCACTCTATTTACGGTGGCTATCGCCGTGCCTCACAATCTACAAAACACGACGTCTTGGCATGTCGAGACATCGTCCTCTGAAGGCCCATCCTCGTTCATGGATTTGAAGATGAAGAAACACAATGTTCATCATCGTCCAATCCTGTCGCCATGAAAGATGCTCTCGTGGCATAAATACCGGGTCTTGGCTGCCCATGTTGGGATTTATGTTGGATCCTTTCAACACTCCAGCTTGCCTTGGTGCTTTGATTCAGTCGTACATTGTATCTGATTTTCTCCCACCATTGGAACGGTACATTTTGATGTGCCAGCCCACCACTTTGCCCCATTATGCATCTCACAAGCCTCGTTCTCGCACTCTCGGCCAGCTTCGCGAGTGTCTATGCCCTCGCACATGACCAAGTGCCGGTTCCGTCCATCAACGCTACGGTTGCCGCACCCAAGCGCTACATCGTCGAGTTTGCCGATGCGGCCAACCACCAGGCAGTCGTCAATGCCCTTTCAGCCCGTGACGGTACCCGCGTGCTGAAGACGTTCTCGTCCGATGTCTTCTCGGGCGTGAGCGTGGAGTCGACGGTGGACAACATTGACACGCTGCGAGCCCTCGCGTCGGCTGGCGTCTCGCGCGTCTGGTCGTCGAACCGCATCAAGCTCGACCACACCGTCCCGACGCAGTCGTTTTCCAGCGATGCCTCCGCCAGTAACTACTCGGTGCACAGCTGGACGGGCGTTGACAAGGTGCACGCGGCCGGCTACTTTGGCAAGGGCGCCGTTGTGGCCATTGTCGATACGGGCACACAGTACACACATCCGGCACTCGGCGGCGGCTTTGGTCCTGGATTCAAGGTTGCCGGCGGCTACGATTTCGTCGGCAATGGAAGTATGTTCAAAGGCCACCGTTGACGTCGACTGATCTTGCGTTTCCTCTTTTATTGACACACACCTTGTTACCAGACTGGCCGGTTGATGGCAGCGCCAAGCAGCCTGACAACGACCCAATGGACCAGATTGGCCATGGCACCCATGTCGCTGGCATTGTTGCCGGAAAGAGTGACCCGTAAGGCGTTTCTGACCACGTACGCGAGACTTTCACACTTTTGGTTCTAATGTTTTGCTAGATTTCTTGGTGTTGCACCTGATGCGACACTTCTCTCTTTCAAGGTCTTTGGCCAGCAAGACGGGACCGACGAGGACACGCTGATCGAGGCCTTTCTCGCTGCGTACGAGGCCGACGTAAGAGGACCCAGCATGCATACTCTACAATGGTGCATTGTCACTAACACGACAGGCCGATATCATTACTTGCTCTGTTGGTGGTGCCGGGGGCTGGTCCACGGATGCGTGGGCCACGGTCGCGTCCCGCATCGTCGAGCAGGGTGTCGTTGTCACCATTGCAGCTGGGAACAATGGGTTTGAGGGACCGTTCTTCGGGAGCAATGGCGCCGCCGGCGATTATGTTCTGGCCGTGGCGTCGAGCGAGGCCTCCACTGTCGTCGCGCCGCCGTTTTATGCCACGTTCAACCTCAATGGCCTCTCCAACACAACCGAGGTCGCCTATTATCCCGGCTTGGACGTCTTCCCTGCGTCGGTCAAGGGCTGGCCGATTGTGCCGCTGTCGCTGAACAAGTCTGTCGAAGACGATGCCTGTTCGTCGCTTCCGTCAACAACGCAAAACCTGTCGGCCGTGATCCCTCTGGTGCGCCGTGGCGGCTGTGACTTCATTGTCAAGCAAATCAATCTCGAGGAATTTGGTGCGCAATACATTCTCTTCTACCAGGACGATGAGCCGCTGGCCTCGCCCTTTTCGTTTTTCGATACGTCGCTCCTGGGGCTGATTGAGAAGGCGGCCGGCGAGGCCATCATCGACACGGTTCTCGCCGGCGGCAATGTGACGGCCGACTTCTCGCTTGATCCCAACAACAACTATGTCGGCATGTTCAACGCGGCGGGCGGGCGTCCCAACGACTTTACCAGTTTTGGCAGCACGTACGACCTGAAGCAGAAGCCCGAGGTCGCGGCTCCCGGTGGGGACATCTTTAGCACCTACCCGACCAACGGCTATGCGGTGCTGTCCGGCACCTCCATGGCCACGCCGTACATTGCCGGCATTGCCGCGCTGTATGTGGGTCGCTTTGGCGGACGCAAGACGCACGGCAGCGGCTTTGCCAAAGAGCTGGCTATGCGCATTATTTCGTCGGGCGGCGCGCTGCCCTGGATTGACGGCAGCACGGACGCCGACTACGGCTTCTGGGCGCCGACGACGCAAGTCGGCGCCGGGCTGGTCGACGCAAACAAGGTGCTCACCTACAACACCAGTCTGTCGTATGCCAAGTTTGCACTCAACGACACGCACCACTTTGAGCGCTACCACAAGGTGGACATTACCAACCACGGCGACAAGCCCGTGACGTACAAGTTCCAGCTGCAGGACGCGGGCGGCTTCGAGGCGTGGCAGCCGTTTGACGAGAACCTGTACGGCACGCCGCGGCCCAAAGTGCTCAACGAGCTGACGCCCATCAAGATTGCCCCCAAGGTGTCGTTTCCCGGAGGCACTTTTACCGTGAAGCCGGGCGAGACCAAGCAGGCACAGTGCGTGTCTTGTTCCCTTTTTTCATGCTGACATGAATGAGACAAGTATTAACCAGTGGGCATACAAACAGGTTCAATTTTGATTATCCCACCGGCTTCTCCAACATACCCGTGTACAGCGGCAAGATTTTGATTCTTGGCAGCAACGGCGAACAGCTCGCTGTCCCATACTTTGGTCAGTCTCCAATTTCAATCAGTGTGTGCTTTGTATCCAATGCTAACATGTGTAGGCATCGCTTCGAGCATTGAAAAGGACCTGCAGAAGCAATTTCAACAGGGCTACCCGTTTGGCGAGTCAGGTGTCGAGTATCCTTTCCCGACGTTTGACAATCACAGCGTGTAGGTGAAGGTTGCGTTAGTAGCTAACCATGCAATTCGTCCAAGCCTGCTAATCGGCCCCTCAGATTCACCTTTGACCTGGGCACTCGCGTCCAAGATTTTCCCAAGATTGTTGCTCGTACCCAGTGGGGTGTAAAGGAGCTTCGCTGGGATGTACGGCACACTGCTTGATCCCTTTGCTAAATTTTCTTATTGTATGTATGTTGCTAATTGTTCTAGATCTTCGACGATGCATGGACCGAGCGCGACTGGAAATACCCGCCGGTGGTCGGCCAGGATGGCTATGTCGGCTCGGTGGCATACTACGCGCACTCGGGAGAGGTCAGCGTCTTCAATCCTGGCTTTGACAACGCAAGCGACACCATTTCGTTCCCGCTCAGCGACATCTACCGCAGCTCCGTCGACGTCTACGACACCGAGTACTGGTGGCTGGGCGGACTGGCCAACGGCTCTCAGATTTCCAATGGAAACTATACGTACGTTCCCTTGGCAACTCCCTCGTAGACACAACCACTCTGCACGATACTGACTGCGCCACAGCCTCCGCTTTGCCGTTCTCGCTCCCTTTGGCAACCAAGCGCACAGCGATAATTGGGACGTCTTGGCGCACAAGTTCTCCGTTTCTAAACTTTCTAAATAGGCTAGGTTTGTAGCCTACTGTCATCCATCGTTTTGAGCGATGCTCCGGATTTGTTTGTACTTTTTGTGCTTGGAAACTGTCACTTTCTACATTCCAATCTCGTACCAGCCTTTTCGCTTCACATCGAGGCCAATATGCGAACCGTTGATTAGTTTCGCCAGTTTGGTCGTACGCTCGTGTATTTGTGCCTTCCATTATTTGTCAAGTGCCAATATAACTATAATATAGAGTACTTCCAGAACCGAGCTGCTCAACATAAATTCCAAAGATGAGAGTGTTGTCGAGAGGACTTACATCAAGTATGACTAAGCAAGACCCTTGATTTTGTCCCGGGCGCCGAATGTCAGGTCCAGCTTATCGGTCCCTTATCGCGCCCAACTAAACGGCAGAATTTTTTTTCCGCCTTTTTTTTTCTTCGTTCACCCAAGTGCCTGTTCTAGCGCCATTGCCATCTACCTACTGTTGGCGTTTCTCTTACCGATGCACCTTTTTTTAAACGTCGGACCCAACCAACACATTTGCTACCCTCTCTCTTCTCCTGTCTTCCAACACGCACACCATGTCGATCAAAAAGCACCGCCCCGTGGACGAGGAAGACGTCGACACTCCGGCGGCGCCTCTCGCCAAGAAGGCCCGAGTCGCGGCCAATGGCGATGCTGCCAATGGCGACGAGGCCGAGCGCAGGCAGCTGAAAAAGGAAAAGAAGGACAAGAAGAGGAAGGAAAAGAAGGAAAAGCGCGAGAAGGAGGGCAAAGAGGGCAAGGAGGGCAAGGACGACCAGGAGGCCAAGAAGGAGAAGAAAGACAAGAAGAAGGAGAAGAAGGAGAAGAAGCTGAAAGAGAAGGGGGAGGCAACCGAAGGGACCGCCGAGTCGACAACTGCGACCAACGGCGCCACCCCCTCGTCCGGCTCCTACACACAGACGGCTGCCCTGACGGCCGTGCCCGAAGCCGATGTCCAGGCGTATCTCAAGAAGGAGCAGGTCGCCGTGTACGACCCGCTCGTCAGCAAGACGGCGCCCGCCTCGGAGCGTCTGCGGCCCATCCTCGAGTTTAGCCAGCTGCCCGCGACCGCCCTCACCAAGAAGGGCCCTTTTGCCGCCTACAAGAACCCCACGCCCATCCAGGCCGCCTCGTGGCCCTACACGCTCGGCGGCCGCGACCTTGTCGGCATCGCCGAGACCGGTTCCGGCAAGACCATGGCGTTTGCGCTGCCCTGCGTGGAGGCGCTGCGCAGCCTGCCCAAGCCGGCGGCCGTCGAGGCCAAGAAGCTGCCGAACCGGTCCAAGCTCAACAACAAGTGGGACGCCCGCGGCAACCTGGCGCAGGCGCTCGCCGTGATTGTGTCCCCGACGCGCGAGCTGGCCATGCAGACGCACCAGGCCATCGAGCCGCTGGCGGCGCTCGCGGGGCTGACGGCCGTCTGTCTGTACGGCGGTGCCAGCAAAGACGAGCAGCGCGTGCTGCTGCGCCAGGAGGGCGGCGTCGACATTGTCGTGGCCACGCCGGGCCGTCTCAAGGACTTTATCAACGACGAGGCCGTGTCGCTGGCGCACGTGCAGTTTGCCGTGCTCGACGAGGCGGACCGCATGCTGGACACGGGTTTCGAGGAGGACATCAAGTTTATCCTGGGCCAGTGCCCCGAGCGGGCCGCGCGCCAGACGCTCATGTTCACGGCGACGTGGCCGACGAGCGTGCGCGGCCTGGCCGACGGGTTTATGAAGGACCCCATCAAGATCACGGTCGGCAGCCGGACGCGCGCGGGCGCGCTGGATGGCGAGGACGGCGCCGAGGGCGGCGACGGCCCGCGCGACCGCAACAACACGGGCGCCGTGGAGCTGCAGGCGAACGCGCGCATCACGCAGACCGTCGAGGTCATAGACCAGCGCGAGAAGGAGCGCCGCTGCCTCAACATCATCAAGCAGGAGCAGCGCGGCAAGGCCAAGAACGACCGCATCCTGGTCTTTTGCCTCTACAAGAAGGAAGCCGTGCGCGTCGAGAATTTCCTGCAGGGCCAGGGCGTGCGCGTGTGCAGCATCCACGGCGACCTGCGCCAGGAGCAGCGGACACGCAGCCTGGAGGCGTTCAAGGCCGGCACGACGCCCGTACTGGTGGCCACGGACGTGGCCGCCCGCGGTCTCGACATCCCCGAGGTCAAGCTGGTCATCAACGTGACGTTTCCGCTGACCATTGAAGACTACGTGCACCGCATTGGCCGGACAGGCCGCGCAGGCAAGGACGGCCGTGCCATTACCTTTTTCACGGAGCACGACAAGACACACTCGGGCTCGCTGATCAACGTGCTCAAGGGCGCCAACCAGGAGGTGCCGGAGGACCTGCTCAAGTTCGGCACGACGGTCAAGAAGAAGACGCACGGCACGTACGGCGCCTTCTTCAAGGACGTGGACATGAGCCAAAAAGGCACAAAGATCACGTTTGATTAAAAGGACGTGGTGTTTTGTTTGATGAAACAAAAAAATGTATCTGATTTGGCTTAATTTTGGCGCAATTTTGGTTCAAATTTGGCGGCATCTATCTCAGCGCTTCATATCCCGCATTGGGTCCGTCTCTCAATACGACGGCGGATTGCCGCCACGCACAAAGCTATAGCATTGGCGGAAAAACCGCCGTTCAAAGAAGCCTCTGGTGGTGAAACAACAAAAGTTAGCGAGAGCTCCATATATTTTTAAGAAGTCATTTTATATAGACGCGCGTATGTTTTATGCTTGGAAAGGCGTTTTTGGTTTGGGTTCATGATTCGAATATATGCATTTTATACACGAAAAAACACAAGTAGCAACGTATAAAACTTACACTGTGAGGAGAAATGGGACGGCCAAGACGGCAATCTTGATAAGCTGTGTAATTTGAGCGACAGGCCCTGTGGACAACGTGGCCGGCACAAACCGCCGGACAGCCGTGCTCGTGACCGCGGCTGCGAGCACGGCGAAGGGGTGCGGCATGAGCGAGGACGTGGCGTCGCCGAAAAACGAGATACCACGTGCCGCAAAGTACCGTCGAATAAATACAAGACACCAGACGATGCGGCACGCCATGTTGATGCCGTTGGCCGCGACCAGGCCGACAGCACCGCCGTCGAGCACGCGCAGACAGATGTAGCCAGCGGCTGCGAACACGGCCGAGAAGCCGCCCATCCACACCGATTGGCGGTAGACCTGGGCTTCGGTTGCGACCGATGCCACAAAAGCTTCTGCGACGCCATTGATAGCTAGTAGCGGAATGTACCACACGTAGGCCGCGAGAGTAGCGGCAGCGCCCGAGTTGGCCCAGCGCGGGCCGGTGACAAGCCCCAGGAAGGGCGCCGCGGCAGCGGGGCCAATGGCCGTCACAACAAGGGAGAAGAGCAGGTAGAGCTTAAGCAGGGTCTGGAGGTCGCGGGCCGCCCTCTTCGTGGGCGCGGTCTTACTTGTCTCCTTGTTGTGCGCCTTGTCGTCCTCGGCCAATAGGCGAGAAAAGTAGCTCCGGCTGCTCTCTTCAATGGGCTGGAACAGCAGCCGCGCGGCCAGACCGCCGTAGTTGTTGGCCAAGGCATAGACGCCTTGGGTCGTGGTGGTCGACAGCACACTGACTAGGAACGTGTCGCCCTGCGTCAGCACGTGCTTGACAATGCTCTGGACGGACATGCTGGAGGCCAGGTGGAGGGTCGGCCGGTCAAAGAGCTGGAGAGCGTACTGGCCGGTCAGCCGGCGGGGAAACAGCGAGAAGCCGTCGCGCCGCGCCAGGGATGCGCCGTGCCAAGCGTACACCGCCAGCAGGCCGACCCCGTAGGCCAGTTGGCCGAGCGCAAAGGGCAGGACACCGAGAACGATGCCACGTCCGGCAGTGCCCCTGCCGTCGCCCAAACGCGTGGCCAGCACGGCAGCGCCCAAGGTCGTTGCACAACGTAGCACGGTGGCAACCGATTCGGCGGCGGCACGCGCACCAAACTGCAGTCTCAACTGCAAGACGACAAAAGCCGGCTCCGACAGCAGCTCAATGGCCGACGCAAAGGCGTAGAGGTACAGGCTAGGAACGAGAAACGGCGTGGTCTCTGCAAGCGACCGTGCTGGGTGGCCGTGCTCGTGATCTTCGTGGATGTTGCCGTCCTCATCTGTCGTCTTGTGAATCGATGCCAAGTAGAGCCAGCCGAGCAGCAGGGCTACAAGCGATCCCAGCAAAATGGAGACGTAGGCTAGATTGACGGCACTCTGGGAGGAGGCGGGCGACGGCGAGGAAGAGGAAGTCTTGTCCTCATTTTTGGAGGCACTCTTTTTGGAGGCGTTCTCCTTGGGGCTCTTGGCGGCCTCTTGGGGTTGCTCTCGCCCGCCCTGGCGTTGAATGGCTACACGCAAACTCTCGCGTGCAAAGAAGAGCACGCTCAGGTAGTAAACCTCGAGCTGTGTGGCCACGCCGAGCAGCTGTGCCGTCAAGAAGCGGAGCAGCAGCTGGTTGGCGATGAAAGTAGCTGCGCGGGATGCGACCTGCAGTGCAATAAGCAGCGACGCGCCGCGGACGGCCGACGGGGCAGTAGGAGCTGAAGCCGGGGGCGGTTGTTTGTCCGCCATGGCCGGTTGTGTGACTGGTTGTGTCAAACGTGAAAGAGTGAGAACACGCTGATGATGACCAAAACGCGCCACGTTACGTTTCAGGGGCGCGTTTGTCGTAGTTTATTGGCGAGGCAGGCGGGATGAACACTACGAGGCAAGAACGACCGGTCATTTTACGGGCCTCTTTTAGTGGGGCTATTCTGGTGTAAGTTAGCAGCGACAGTGAACCCAATTTGCTCGTGGAAGCCAACTCGACCTACCCAAAGAATAATCATTTTCCGCGTTGTCATGCCATACAATCACCCATCAGCAACTTTCTTCTTTCACGCGCGGCCATAGATACAGGATCCTGTCCGCTCTCCCGTAGTCAAACCTGTAGTTTGCGTGCCGCTGCCGCCGAGGCCGGTTTCTGATTCGCCCAGAGTGCATCGTCACACGGAGGCGCACCGCCGTGAATGAACCTGGCTGTGCTGCGCGGTGTAGCCTTCCTTTTCTTGCCCCTTTCCTCGCTTTCCTCTGTATGATGGGTGAATGGTCCGAGACAGTGTTGCGAGGACGCAAGAAAAAATAAGTGGAGGCATGCTGCCCTTTATCTCTTGCCAATTGTGCCGCCCAGCTCCCTCTGCTGTCCTGCCCAATTCCTCCCCCGAACTCAGCACAGCCAATCGAACAAGCCGTCGACCCCGGCGACACCGCAGCCTTTGTTCCAGCGCTTTTATGTGACGGTGTGTGCCGCTGTCAAGGGGCCCTTTTTTAGCCTCGTCGGGCGACAGTTTTTAGGCCCTTGAAAACCCCCGCTAGTTACATACGTTAAAGACATCCTCTGATTTCTCGAAGTATTAACCGCCGAGCAGAAAACAGAATCAGAAAATAAACAGAAAACAGAAATGGGCGAAACAGAGAACAGACAGTAGAAAACAGATTTAAAAAGAAGTACCGTAGAATATTTTACGTATCTCTTCTTGTAACTTTATATTATTATTACCTTCGAATAATCAAGTAAAATAATCGATGATAAACGAGGTTCAGGTTAACAAAGAGTCTACAACACACGGTCAAATGGATCAACAATTCTTAATGAATTTCTATAAGAAGAGTATCGGCAGTTGCCTTCCATGGAGATCCATTGAGAATTGTGCGACGGTAAGGAACGTATTTTTTCAGAAATCAAAAATTAAGTCTCTTCTTCCGTTACGCTCTTCAACGTCCAGTTCCTCAGCCTCTCACCGTATACACACATAGGAATGCCCGTCAGCAGCAAAACAACCTCAATCAGCAGCATATATCCGGCAGTCTATTTAATCTCATTAGTATACCAACACTTGCTTGACTTGACAAAATGGGGTGGATAGGGGAAGAGGAAAAAATTACCGCCACATAGCCGTCGCGTGCGATCCACGAGGCCTCGCCGAAGCTGAGCGCAAAGGCAAACGTGTTCTTGAAAGCCGTCATGCCCGTCAACGTTTCACCAGCCAGCGGCCGGTAACAGTCAACAACGTAGGTGATGGCAACGGTGGGAACGAGGCAGAGTACACAGTAAGTGATACCCCATCCAACGACGGGGACAGACCAGTGAAGCTGATTATGCAGTCCGGCGCCCCAGAGCATCAAGCCGATAGGACCAATAATGAATCCCAGAACGAGGAAATAAAGTCGCTTCTCCGGCCTGAAGTAGCCCTGCTGTTTACGGGAGATATAAGCAACAAAGTAGTCCGACGCAGGACCACCCACAAGGCAGCCAATAATTCCTCCGATAAAGGCCTAGACAAGTCAATTAGCCTTTTTTTTACTTCTTTTTGTTTTCCTTCTTTTTCACCTGTTCAACCCGCTGACATACCGCAATGTTCAGGTTCCCGACGCCGAGGTCGCTGAAGCCATAGATCTCAGGAAAGGCTGTGGCGTCGACCGTTTGCTCAATGACAACCCAGCCGAGGATGACTCCATATAAAAGTGAGGACCAGATCACGGCGGGGTAGTACATGACCTTGATAGGCCACCAAAAGTGCGTGAGCAAAGATGTTTTGTGGTCATACCAGCCCCAAGCCTTTAAACTGTGAGCCCACGTGGCCAAAGCGCTCCGTGGTGCTGCCACTTCCACCGCTGTGCCATGGTCGGAGATGGAGACGGCCTCAAGACCCAGCTCTGACTCTGCCGGGCGGTCAAAGTTGGTCTCTGCCAAAAAGAACAGAATCATCAAAAACGAAATGCCGGTGAGGATGGTGTGCAGGCCAAGTCCCCAGCGCCAGCTGTTCGTGTAGTGGACAGTAATGCCGGCAAAAATGCCGCCAAAGGCTGCGCCGATTGCAATCGCCATTCTAATCTGGGTATTAGACAACTTCTGGCACGATATAGGATAGACGGTGTGTGATACGACAAGAACTGATAGCCAAAAAAATAAAGGAGCGCTGTACAGTCCGAAGCTGAACTCACGTGTAAATGCCAACCATAGTTCCGCGTTCATGAAGAAAGTAGACATCAGCAATCTGAAAAGCAACTACGTGTTAGCAGTCTGATTGACCAAAAAAAAAAAAAAGGGCGGCAAAGAAACAAATCTGACAATAGCGGGGCCCAAGGCCTCTGATGAGCTTGCTCCAAAGCCTTGCAGAATCCGAGCTGCGAGTAGAGAATTGTACGACTTGGCAGTGGTCGACCAGATGGCTAGTAAATACTCTGTTAGTCTGACATTGTCACAACTTCTATTGCGGCCCATGTATGTGTTCTACTCACACGTTGCGAGAAAGAGTGCTACTGAAATAATGGTCGTTGGGCGCTTGCCAAATTTCAGGCACAGCGGAATCCAGAAGAGGTTCTATCCGAGGTCAGTCGATTTACTCAGTTTTGCACTCAACGCCCGTCCAAAAAGAAAACAAAGCTTACCCCCACGCCCAGAGTCAGAATTTGCGCGGTGATCAGATAGCTGGCATGGCTCAGCGAGATGTCAAACTCCTCGATGATGCGGGTCAAGCCGGGGGTGACAGTGCCGATGCTAAAGTTGGAGAGGAAAACAACACTGGAGATGGCGACAAATGCTAGATGACGACGTGATGCACTCCACGACTGGAACAGTCAACGACAGTCAGCGAAAAAGAAAAGAAAAAAAAAAAGAAAAAAAAGAGGTTAAACTCATGGACTTTCGGGCACACTTACCAGCGGATCACGAGGGTCGTTTGTGGGACGCGGAATACGCGCACGCTCGATCACATGGCCATCAGCATCCTCTGGAAGAAAAGGCTATGTTAGCATAGACTTTGTTTTTGTATAAGACTCTCGGAGACCGTGACTCACCAATGTACAAGTGTGCCGCTCCAATCTGGCCGGCCACATGACGCATAGAGGGTTTGTGATACTCGGAATGCTCTGTGAGCGGCTTGTTGTTCACAGCATCTGCCATGGCTGCTTGTTCGCTTGTCTGTCTGACATGCACAAAAAAAGAGAAAGAAAATAACAGTGAGATGACAGCAGATATATAGACCGCAAAATAAAATGACAAGAAACACAAAAAAGGAAAAGTAGACAGGCACGCAGTAACATCTTACCGCTTAGCCAATACACCGGGTCTGCTTCCCCGCATACCCTAGGCTTGCTACCCCAGGTCGAACCACGCGCCCAGACCACAGCGGGGAATGGGTAAGAAAGATTTCACCGAACACTTTTCACCGAGCCCGGAGTCGGCAAATTCAGACTAGCGTCGGCAATGTCAAAGTTGTAAGTGGAATGAACAGTGGCACCCGGGGCGTGGGTACGCAGTTACCGATGCAATATACGAGTGCAACGAGACGAGATTATTCTTCCGTCTTTGGAGACACTTATACATCTATTTAAGACAGCTGGATATGCAGTGCGGACTGAAGGTAAATCATAATCGTGAATGGAATTATCAAACGACGAGAATCTCAAGGCAGTCCTCAACAAAACCAATAAATCAATCAAAACAACTCGACATGGCTTCTTGGGTGGATGTGCCGGAAGGCTGCGACTTTTCCTTGGCGAACCTTCCATATGGAATTTTCAGCCTTAAAAACACCAGCAGCAGCAAGACCAGTGACCTGAGACGCATCTGCACCGCGATTGGGAACTGTGTTCTCGACCTCAAGGGCCTTGCCCAGGAGGGACTTCTGGCCAGCCTCGGCTTTGATGTCACCACGCTGGAGGCCGAGACACTGAACGCATATGCCGCTCTCGGACGTGCCGTCCACCGCCGCGTGCGTGAGTTTTTGCAGGACCTCCTCCGGGCTGACACCGTCCTGGGCGAGCATCTGCGCGACCACGGTGACCGCCGCCAGCGGCTGCTGGTGCCTCTGGCCGACGTAACACTGCACTTGCCCATGGATGTGCGCAATTATACAGACTTTTTCGTCGGCATCCACCACGCTCGAGCCGTAGGATTCTTTCTTTTCGATCTGACTTGATCTGGTTATTTTTTTGCTCTGACATTTTCTGTTCTGAAAACTAGTGTGGCCGCATTTTCCGGCTCAGTTCAACGCTGGCGCCCAACTACGAGCACATCCCACTGGCGTATACCGGCCGGGCGAGCTCGGTTGTGGTGTCTGGAACATCCTTCCACCGTCCCAATGGGCAGTACCTGGTCGACGGCAAGCCCGTGTTTGGGCCGTCACAACGCGTCGACTTTGAGGTCGAGTTTGGCGCGTTGATCGCCCAGGGAAACGCGCTCGGCAAGCCTGTCAGCGTACAGGAGGCCGAGGACCATATTTTTGGCTTCGTGATGTTCAACGACTGGTCGTCACGCGATATCCAGCGCTGGGAGTCGCAGCCACTGGGACCTCTCAACGGCAAGAATTTCTGCTCGACCATATCGCCATGGGTGGTCACGCCCGAAGCCCTCGAGCCCTACAAGACGGAACCTGTGCTGAAAAACAACCCAGTCCTGCCTTACCTTGACGAGAACAGTGACAAAACTGTCTACGATATTCCCATTGATGCTTCAATTATCAGCATGTCTCTCCACCGTCCCCTTTCCCTCGGCTTCCAACATTCATCAGGCATCTTGTTCTAACGGTGCAGCAGCCCAAGGAGAGCGTTACCACGTGTCCACGTGCAACACGCGCAACGTCATTTTCTCGTTTACACAGATGATCGCCCACCTGACCGTTGGTGGCTGCCCGATGCAGACAGGCGATTTGATCGGCAGCGGCACGCTGTCTGGCATACCGCTTACGGAGGCGGGCTGTCTGCTCGAAGCCACGGAGGATGGGCAGAACCCAATCGTGGCCTATGCAATTAATGACACCGCGGAAAAGGGTCAACCGTCCGGAAAGTCCATTCAGCGCCTGTATCTGGAGGATGGGGACGAGGTGGTCTTCCATGTCGGTGTGGATGCACCGCAAAAGGCCGATGCCAGGGGCATCTCCGGCAGAGTGGGCTTTGGTGCATGCAGGGGTACAGTTTTACCGGCGCGGAAATAAGGTAGATCGGGTTCAAGGAAATGGTACAGAGCTTGTGATCAGATTTACTAGGGAAGAGAGAAATAACTTTAGTCGAAATTGGAGTCAACATTTGACATCTAAACACCTGTTTGATTTGTTATGTTGGAGAAATAGCCCCACATTTCGGCTGTCTCTGATGGAGATGTCGGGGTATAGTGGTCGGGAATGTATTGCTTTGCCTCTTGCAGAGTTCCCCGATCGTTGCGGTAAAGTGTCTCATGACGCTATTTCGACTTCACCAATAGGTCGGAAAAGGAAATACGCCAAGTATGCTGCCTCACGTTCACGGATGATCGCATTCCTGATAAAACGAGCACCCTCGATCAAGATGGTGTTGAGGACTATTTAACTATACTGTTTTCAGTCTCTTCCCAACTTCCTTGGCACCATCATCTGCTGGATCTTCTCTATAGCTAAGAACTACGTCTTCTGTTTCATTCATCATTTTGTCTTATTCTTTTTCCGGGTCCCTGTCCATCCAAGATGACCACCTCTGGCATCCCCAACGCCAATGGCTCGGCTGACACGTCGCCACTCCCAGTCATCCGCCAGCTTGTGACCACACACGACCAGGCCACCGGCAAGGCCGTTCTCGCCTCGGGGCGTGACGCCGTGTGGCGCAACCACCGCGATGGCGAAGCATACATGACCGAGCCCTTTAGCACCGCCCAGTTCCCGGCCGATCTCAACGACGACGCCGATATACGCTCGCACGAGGCGTTTGTGGCCGGAGGCAAAAGCAAAACGACAAGTCTCGTCCGCGAGGGCGGGACCGTGTGCCGCGTGGTCGATCTCTGCCCGGGCAACGTACCGGCAATGCACCGCACGCGGAGCCTCGACTATGGCGTCGTGCTCGAGGGTACGGTCGAGCTGATCCTCGACTCGGGTGAGGTGCACACGATGCGGCGGGGCGATGTCGCCGTGCAGCGCGCTACCATGCACGCGTGGCGCAACGCCAGCGACACTGAGTGGGCGCGCATGCTGTTTGTGCTGCAGGACTGCCTGCCGGTCCAGATCGGGGGCGCTGAGCTTATCGATGATGTTAACTCGGTGGCGATGCCGGGCAGGTAGAATTTTTTTTCTTTTTTTTTCCCTTTTTAGAAGACGATGACTCAAAAAGGCAGTAGATAGATTATCTCATTGAATAAATATCAACTTCTTAAAAGAATCGTCTGCCCAACACTTACAAGCAGTAGACATTTTAAGTGGTAGATAGATTTATTATTGTTCTTGCAAGAGGGAGGAACAAAAAATCGACACAAAACCTTCCAATGACACCGAGAATGGATATAACGACATCTATCTCACAGCTAAAATCCCGTATTATATTACATGGGACTACGGAAGAGCGTCTCGGACTCGATCTGCTGAAGCCACGTGTTGAACGACGCCAGCTGCTGCGACGAGATCATGCCATTCTGCGCCTGGACAAAGTCAAAGCCATCGTTGGGGCTAGATGGCATGAAAAAGTCGAGGCTAGTATCAAATCGGGGAGGCGATAGATAAAGTCCAGCAGCGTTCATGCCGCCGTTGCCGCCGCCGTTGCCTCCATAGCCGTCCGGGCCGCTAAAGGTGCTCGCAACGGTGGTTGCGGTAGAACTTGACAGCTCGTCTATGAGAGATGATACAGCACCTGTTTTTTGTGCAGCGACCAGTCAGCATAATTGACAACAATATCTGAAGAGAGACAACAGAGACAAGAGAGACAAAGAAAGACTTCTTACCGTCGGCAGGGGGCACGGACGAAGGCCTGCTACGGCTACTGAGCCCCAGGTCGGTGATCTCGGCGTCGGTGCGTTCGACATAGCTGCCTGTCGACTGCCAGATGATCTCGCTGTAGCTCATGATGGACTTGGCCGCGCGGTCGGTGCCGTTCCAGCTTACGTCCAGCATGGACGGGTCCATGAACTTGGGCTCGTCATTGAGGCGAGGTGGTTTACGCGAGAGGGTCTTGTACAGCGTCCACGAGTTGATACCGAGCAGAGAGACATACTTCCAGTGCTTGCCCATCTGCTGAATCATGCGCAGGTTGACAAGGACATTAGAGCGTGCGCGGGTCTGCACGTCCTGGTTCGAGCACCAAAAAAAGGGGATCTGCACAGCGCAGGCCGAATAGGCCGCAAAACTCACGAAGCCTGGGATGCGGTCTGGGTCGATGTTGTAGTGTCGCTGCGAGAGTTTAATCAGCTGCGACACGGCCTGCGCGTGCTCAAAGGCGAGCTGCGCCGAGACGTGGCGCGAATACAACGACAGGTGCGAATGCGACGACAATGCGGCGGTGGTAGCACTGTCGGACCGGTACGAGAACAACGGCACAATTGACGAGTGCAGGATACAAATGCTCTGGTGGTACATGACGCACAGGAGAAGCCGCAGAGGGAGTGGCGAGTGTTGGGGTTCTGATGAAGGCGCGTCCCCGTCTACATCTTGCGTTCTGGTCTCACCAGCAACGGGCAGCTCCAGGGGCAGCTTGAGGCTGTCGGGGACGTTGGACCACCATTGAGACAGCGACTCGTGGAGGGAATCCAGCGTTGTCAACTTGGGTACGTCGGTCTTTTTGACTATGTCGGATATTTTGTTCCTGTCATTGTGAGCCGCAAAGTCTCAAGGTCCATGTTGTCCTTCTCTGTCGCGTCTTGACGTACCAAAGAGTAAGGCCACGGACCAGCTCTGCATAGACACTGCCGTCTCCCTTTTTATCCAGGTCCTTCATGCCGGATGCAAAAAAAGCATCAGAGCATGGCAACGGGACCTTGGCAAAGGCGGTCGAGTAGTTGCCAGTCGAAAACTCAACGCGGGAGCCAAAGTTCATGGACAAGTAGGAGGACCAGAAGCGTCGACGACTCATCTCGACAGCCAGCATGGCCGACTGAGCCTCGTCACGAGCAGCGTCATCGCGAGCAGCGTCATCGCGAGCAGCGTCATCGCGAGCAGCCGATGTGATGTTGAGGTTGTATGAGATGAGGATAGCATTCCCTGGCGGTCAGCAGTTAGCGGCCAGAAAGAGTACAATGCAATAAGAGGAGACAGAAACGAAGTACACTTCAAAAGGTAGCATCGGCGCCATTCGCCGACAGAGTACCAGTAGAGCGAGAGGTTGATAAATGTGACAATGTTCTCTTCACGAGGGTCAACCAGTTCGGCAAAAACAAGACTCCCGGCGCGGGTGGCCCATTCGTGGCCGAAGCCCGGCTTGACCAGGGAGTAGTTGCCGGACTCATCTTTGTAGAATCTTTTTTTCGTCAGCGGATGTCTATATGGTGAGTCAAAAAATTTCCTGGACACCAGAACCCACTTGGATGCCCAGGCACAGACACTCAGCAGCACGTGAGGCGTCACGGTGCCGGCACGCAGGCTGTGGACAAAGGTGTCCTTGTGCAGCAGCAGGCTGGCATTGTACCCGTGCGTAAAGTAGATCTCAACTAGCTCCCAAAGCAGCGTCTGAGGCACGCCACAGTACGCGCTTAGATCGGCCACCGAGTTGGAACTGGATATCAAAGATGACGATGACTGTGGCGGCGGCCGAAGATCAGGCTGGCTGTGAGTGTCCGACGGGCTAGTTCTGTTGTCTGGCCTGCTGTCTGGTCTGTTGTCTGGTCTGTTCTCCGGCTGGTGAAGATCTAGTCTTTTACTTGGGGGCTTGCCATACGAGCAAGTTCGCCCGAGACGACTGCACCGAAGACAGCTCGGTGGACCACCTACGCACCGAATCTGGGGAGCCAGCTCTTGTCAGTCTATCTCAGTCGATCGGGTTCGCGGGACTCAAATTCGGGGAAGAGTGCGGCAAACTGGGGTGAGGTTGAGGGAAATAGTGAAGACCCGGGAATTGAGGGAAACGGGAAACGCGAAACGCGAAACGGGAAACGGTACCTTTTGCGTATTACACTTATCGCAAGCACGACGCGGCCGGCCCATGGGCCTTTCTTTCGCGAATTTCTGCGATCTCTGCGGCATTGTATCGTATAATCGGAGCTGGCAGTCAAAAGGTGAATGTACCTTAGTAGCAAGGTTGATTTCAAAGGAGCAGACGCCGGAGCTATTTTATTGACGCTTCCCCGGATCGGCCGGCTTCTCCGCACGGTAAAGTCCAGCCAGACTCGGCAAAGTAGCATCCGCACCATGCTCAACTCCTCTCACCTCCGCATGCTGGAACATAGCTTATACCCCACCCCAATGTGTGGAAGCTTTCCACAAACTAACGTCGTAGGATTTGGCGCTATATAAGACTCGGTGCATTGTCTGTGCTTTGTCTTGCTGGATAAAGTCATCCCGGCAACCCAAGACAGGCAGCCCAAGACGAATACAGTCCAACACTCCCAGTTCTCTTACAGATTGACGAAGAACGAAAATAAAATAAAACAACACAAACAAGATGTCACGCAGCTGGATGTTCCGTAATGCTACGGTAATCTCCGTAGACGAGACCATCGGCACCGTGCCCAACTGCGACGTGTACGTCGAGGACGGCGTCATCAAGGAGGTTGGCCCCAAACTGGAACTGCCACCGTCAGGCAAGGCCGACGTGGAGGTCATTGACGCGACCAACGCGATCCTGTCGCCGGGCTTCGTCGACACGCACCGCCACATGTGGCAGACGCAGCTACGGACCATCACGGGCGACTTTACGCTGACCGACTACGTGGTCAATATTCGCAACCGCTACGGGTCGACCTACACGCCCGACGACGTGTTCCTGGGCAACCTGTGTGGCGCGCTCGAGTCGCTGGACAGCGGCATCACCTGCGTGCTCGACCACTCGCACATTATGAACTCGCCCGCGCACTCGGACGCGGCAGTCGAGGGTCTCAAGGCGTCACGCATCCGCGGATGTTTCTGTTATGGCCTGTACGTCAACCCGGCACCATCGGATCCAGCGACCAGCAAGGGCACGCAGCGTGCCGAGCAGACGGCCGAGGAAGAAAAGGCCGAGGGCAAGTGGCGCTACAACGACGCTGCCCGCCTGCGCAAAACGGCCTTTTCGCCCAGCAACGCGCCCACGGACCTGCTGCGTTTCGGCTTTGCTCCGACCGAGGTCGAGCGCGCGCCGCTGGAGCAGTCCGTCGACGAGCTGCTGTACGCGCGGTCGCTGGGCGCGGCGCTCATCACGGCGCACGTGGCGCTGGGCACGTACGACATGGGCAGCCACATTGTGCGTGGGCTGGCGGAGCGCAACCTACTGGGCCCGGACCTGGTCTTTAGCCACGGCACCTGCCTGGCACCCGACGAGATCCAGGCCATCAGCCAGGCCGGCTCCAGTATCTCGTCGACGCCCGACACGGAGCTGCAGATGGGCATGGGCCGGCCCATTGCCGTCGCCGCCGAGGCCCTGGGCTGCACCACCAGCCTCGGCGTCGACATTGTGTCCAACAGCCCCAGCGACATGTTTGTGCAGATGCGTCTGCTACTGCAGAGCCAGCGCTACGCCAACGACGGCGACCTGCCACCGGCACCCACCAAGATGACGGTGACCTGCGCCGAGGTGCTGCGCATCGCCACCCTGGGCGGCGCCAAGGCCATGGGCGTTGGCGAGGTCACGGGCTCCATCACCCCGGGCAAGAAAGCCGACCTGCTGCTGACCCGCTGCGACTCGCTGCGCATGACCCCCGTGCACCAGCCCGAGGTCGCCCTCGTGCTGTACGCCAACTCGTCCGACATTGACTCAGTCTTTGTCGACGGCGTGCGCGTCAAGAAGGACGGCAAAATCTTGCCCGCCTCGGGCCGGGCCGAGCTGGACTGGCCGGTGCTGCGCGAGCGTCTGCGCGCCTCGGCGGCCGGCATCATGGAGCGGTCGCACCTTATCCCGCTGCACGAGAATGACAGTAATGTACACGCATACTATAAGCTCGGGGCAGTGAGCAAGTAGTATCGCGGCAGCCAGGAAGAGAGTGTAGAAGAAAAAAAATAGAAATTTAATTTAATTTAATTTAATTTAATTTAATTTACATTAAATTATGGCCTTCATGGTAGAATGTAGAATGCCTCTGATATGTATTTTGTGTAATATCTAACCGATACTAGTCTCTATAGAATATTGAAAAAGAAAAGGCTTAATACGTTCTGAAGTACTTACTTTTCTATTATTCCACTTACTAGACCTATCGAAATATTGGCAAATAGAGTGTTAGTTATGAAAGAGAAGAGAAGAAGCCAGAGACCCCCCTCCCACGAGGGACTCTGACATCCTCTTGAAACGAATGTCTACGCTCTAAGGCAAGGAATCTAGATGACTAAGCCAAGCGGTAATATGGCCTGGATTTCAACAAGACCATGTGGGTCACGTGTACAACGACAGGGGTAATAAATGTTAAAAGAATACATCGAGTGGCGCATCCTTACCTATTTAAGACTAACTAAAAATACATAAAAACATGAACAAAACACTAATAAAATCAAGTACCCGGCGTTTTTCTAATAATTTGTCCGTCCTCCGTTGTTTTCCAGCACCTTTTGCAGCCTTCTGGGCATTGAATGGGCTAGACGAAGTAAAAAGTCGTTGGGCACTGCCTCCCAAGCCTCTGCAACACACCTTCTAAGCCTGGCTAGATTCAGGCTCTGAATATCGTAGTGAACTTCCAACCAACACTTCATATAATGCCAGACGTTTTCGATAGGATTCAAATCAGGGCTTTTTGCCGGCCAGACCACTGTCTGAATAAGCCTCTGTAGCAGCTCTTGTCTCGTCCTCATAGAAGAGTGCGAGCTCGCATTATCTTGTTGAAAAATGCGTTCTTGGTTAGGAAGAGTGTTATAGAAGCCTTCTACTAGAGGTAGAATCTTGTCGATATACTTGTCTGAGTCGATGCCTCCAAGTCCTTTCTCCTAAAAGTGTGTTACTCCTTTTCTATACCCAACAAATTGGCCCCAAAACATCCAACCTTTTGGTCGTCTTTTCATTAAAGCATACGCTTCCGGCGCCTCATCCTTATAAAGCGTGATCCATTGCTTCTATATTGGATCGTTGACTGTGTACGTCTCGTTTGAAAAGATCACAGACTCCTAGTCTTCTGGCCGAGGCCGCTCCCTTAAATATTATATAACAAAGTCGTATCGTTGTTGTTTATAACGAGTCGTTAATAAAATACGGCGAGGACGGACGGTTCGAGTAAAGTTAAGAGATTTTAAAGCCGTCGAGAGTACTTCTTCGTTATAAGTATTTAAAGGAAATGGAAGAATAAGAGGAAGATCGCGCCAAGGTATACGGTGATGGGTTATATCAGCCTCGATCCATTCCTTAAGCCGTCGTCTTTCTAGTGTTCGTATTAACGGTCGGCGGCCAGACTTGTTTTTTCGTGGAGTTTGTGGTTGAGTGTAAGCCTATTGAACTTGTCGTACCGTATAGTCTGTTTCTTGAGCGATTTTTTCGTAAGACCAGTGGGCGTCTTCTCGAAGTACTTTTATTCGAATTCGGTCATCGCGGGATAATTCTATTACCCGTTTTTGAACGGTCGTGACGACGGTAGTTACAGCGGCGGCGGTAACGGTGGTAGCGGTGGCAGCGGCTGTAACGGCGGTAACGGTATTAGCGACAGCGGTGGCGGTGGTAACGGCGGCGGTAGCGGCGTCGGCGGCCGCCCTTACGGCGGCGGTAGCAACGGTGATGGCGTCGGTGACTACGTTTGTGACAATATCGTCAGAATCCATCATTTATCGTGATGTTTACCGCGGTGTTTATGGTAAGTTTGTTTATTTCGTTCAACAGAAGGCGACAAAAACGCGTTCGATTTCAATAAGTATCTTTACACCGGTTTTATTAAAGAAGATACTTGCATAAAATGGCGCTGCCTACCCTTGCCCCCCCCCTGGTCATGTACTCGCACTAACATTTATTACCCCTGTGGACCATGTAATCCGTCGAGATCCGTGGAGCGTGGAGCTTCTTGTTTACCGCATTTCAGCGCTCCTTCTGCTAAATGTAGCCTCAAATTTATGCTGATTGCAGCAATCTCTCAACACAACGACACCTTTATGTCCGACAAAGCCTTAGGACTGGCCTTCTGACATCCGACCATGCATTTCTACGAGTTATCTCTATTCAATGGCTAGTAAATCCTGAAATACGGACACTTCTTCAACGCGGCGTGCCTCATCTACAGCCTCGGCGATGTTGACAAGGCGTTCGGCGCTGGCCTTTGTGCTCGGCGTTGTAAGATAGCACTGGCAGCCACATCGGCGGTGTTCCTCGTGAGTCCAGCCGATCTGCGTCCGAGGACGGTGCATCGGAGGGCATCTGAGATCGGTCCACGTGCGCATTGATGGCGTCGACAGCAAACTCGAAGCATTCAAGGAAGAAACCAGAGACCAATTCGCAGCACTTCGACAGGCCGCGGCGGAGCAACAGCGTTTAACTGCACGGTTGCGTAACCAGCTCCTGAGCAACCCGACGCTCGCTATCAAGCCCATCGCCATCTTTGACGAGACTCGTGGTGTGGTGCAGCCAGATATGAACCTCTTCCCACGACACGCCAAAGAATTCTACAACGTGGTGAAAATGATGTGCCTTTATTTGAAACAGGGCCTCGCTTTTGGTTCCTCATCTTACTCGTTTATTTTCGTCTCTCAACCGGCACGCTGCCAACGTCATTGAATTTCCTTAATTTTGATTTTTTATTTCTAAGATTTTCAACGCCCAATTCCCACCGAAAAGAGGCACACAGATTCAATATCTCGATATGGTTTCGTCGAAGAGACTCGTAGCCTAATAAGTGTCCGGCCGTTGAAGAAACCAACAAAGTACTGAAGGATTGTGACTTCAACCTTTTAACTCATTCTTTCATTTTCGTCTCACCGCGGCTGAATCGTTACCCCCACATTCGCGAGATTCGCCCGAATAAAACAACATATGCCAACCAGTCGGCTGAAAGACGAGTCTATTTTCCCCAACTCGACGAGGTTAAGCTTGTTCGTCTCGGCTTATATGTCTCGGCAGTGGAAGAAAACAAAAAGTAACTATGACGGTTTCAAGATCAACTAGACTGCTGGCCAGGAACGACAACGGTATGTTTATGAACTGACTCCATCTTTCACAAGCACGCACGCCTTGGCAAAAAGCAGACTACAGCCGTATATGTATTATGGGTGGGCAATATATGTGCCAACAACAGTATACCCGAACCCAGGAAACGGTGCCGAATCGCCGGCCACGTTCGCGGCAATGCCAACTCTTTTCCTTCTCGTCTTCCTGTTTTCCTGTTTTCCTCTTATATTGGCCTGTACCCCGTAGACAAAATAGGAGGCACAATGGACAAGAAACACCAGGCCATCAACGCACAGTGCTGCCCCAAAAATGTCGTCTAAGCTCATCTTGCTCGCCTCGTTTGCGGCAGGGCTGGTCTGCGCCCAAACGCCGTCTCCCTCGCCCCGGCCATACAAGCCAATCGTTCTCGAGAGCTCCGGAGGCTTCGCCGTCGGTGGCACCGTGCTGACAAACCCACAGCGGGCCAATTCCACGCTCTCCTGCGACCACGGCTACCTCGAGTACTTCCTGCCCTGGACCCGCCGCGCTACCAGCATCGTAATGTGGCACAGCTCCAGCACGCAGGTCTGGCAAAACCGCTGGGACGGCGGCGAGGGCTACAAAGACATGTTTTTGCGCCGCGACTACCCCGTGTACCTGTGGGACGGCCCCCGCGTCGGCCGGGCAAACTATGGCTGCGAAACGACCACGTACCGCCCCGGGTACCGCGACCAGGGCAACTTTGTGGCGTGGAACTTTGGCCCGTCGTACCCCAACTGGTACAACGACACGCAATTCCCGCGGGACGATCCAGAAGCATGGAACCAGGCCGTGCGCGCGCGCTATGACGAGATGGACACCGAGTCCAATGTGTACCTACAGGCGAATGCAGCAGCCGTAGCGGCGGACTCGGGACGGGCAGGACACGATATTGTGTACCTGACCAACTCGGCCGGCGGGCTGCGCGCGCTCGTGACGGCGACGATTGCCAACGGCACCAACATCCGCGGCATCGTGGCATACGAGTGCATCGGCAGCATCTTTCCCAACGACACGGAGGTGCTGACCACGCTGGGTATCACGCCCAGCCCGGGTGGCTTCGGGCCGTTTGTCGTGCCGGTCGACGAGTTCCACAAGCTGGCGAAGCTCACGGCGGTGCAGTTTGTGTGGGGCGACCACCGCGAGGTGACATGGCCCTCCGTCCAGCAGTCGCAGCAGATGGCCGACCTGATCAACAGCTACGGCGGCAATGCGGAGGTACTGATGCTCGGCCGGGACGTCGGGCTTCACGGAAGTTCGCACATTGCCTTTGCCGACATGGACAACGACAAGGTGGCCGCGATGCTGGACGACTATCTGGCGCGAAACAAGCTCGACAGCTATGCCTAACAGGCGGGGAGGTGGCGTGTGTATATAAAACGAGTTGCATGAGGGGGCCGACAGGTAGAGAAAGTCGAAACAGTATGTCGTATGTCGTTTGCTGCTTATGTCCGCGGCTGTGCCTCTTCGCCAACAGTGTAGCCTCGTGCAATGCCGCTGCGGCCCTCTTCAACAGCTGTGCTCGCCACAACGTCCTCGTCGTCAAACTCGGTGCCCAGGCCCTGCCAAGTACGCTGCGACCGAAGGAATTCTGCGCCCGGGCTAGCAACACCGTTAATTGTCGCGAGTTCTCCGGCCTTGGAGCGAAGCGCCAGTGCACCGCCATTTGGGTTTTGGGACGAACTTGCTATGGTACTTCGGTCTCTGTTTGCGACATTCTTGGCGTTGGGGCCCCGGTTGCGCATAGGCCGGCTTGTCGTAACCAGCCGACCGGTACGTAGGTCGAATTGCGGCACCTCGGAGTCTTCCTCGTCGGAAACGGCCCCGTTCCCCGCAGTCGTGTCGGTTGGTGCAGCAGCGTCAGCCGCTGGTTCGCCGTTGGTCTCGGGCTCAGGTACGGTCGTCAGCGCCTCCAGGCCGCCCCACCACTTGTGGCCCCAAATGCGCTCATCGTCACTCATCAGTGCCATCTCCAGCTCAAAGGGCGTCACCACAGGCTGGTAGAAACCGGCATCGTCCTCAACCAGACTGCTCTCCCAACAGCCGACAACGACCCAGCCCTCAATCTCAGCAAAGTTCGCAAGCTTGACGGGGTTGAGCTTGCCGACAACAATGAGGTAGCTCTTTTTCCCAGCGTCGGCAATGCGCTTGCGGATGGCGTCAACAGCCTTTAGGTAGTTGTTGACCGAGAGCGTGTTGACAAGGATGCCAATGACGCCCGCCGTCGCCATTGTCAGCACCTTGGCGTAGCGGCGACCGAGCAAGCCCATGGTCCGGGGCGCCAGGAGGGATCCGGCGGCCGAGTTGTCGGTATCGGTGGTCGCGTAAATGTAAAAGGCCTTGACGCGGGCGGCAAGGGCCAGAAGCAGCGATGTCGGCGGCTGTGCAATGTGAAAGACTGCGTACTCGTGCAGATCCACGTCCTCGTCTTTGACCTCGGCACCATCCCTGGCTCCAACAATCGTCCGGTTCGGAATGCTGCCCAACGGACGGTGCACCACCTTGGTGGCCAGCACGTTCTTGTACCCTAGGTTCCGCAGCCGATCGGCAACAGGCGCCACATGGTCTTGGTAGGTCACGTCGGCCATAATGACCACGTTTTGTCGCCCCTCACTGTCGTCACCCTCGTTACCCTCCTGAGGGGCGCCCAGCTCCTTGGCAAACGACTGCACGACGGCGTCCTCGTCCAGCTCGTGCTGCGTAAAGACATAGATGACCGGTAGCCGCGACGTCGGTGACAGGCATGAGCGGCCGTAGTGCACAACCACGTCGGCATCGGCATGCTCGGCCGCCACCTCGTCGACACAGCAGGCGCTGTATGACGTGTCCGCCAGAATGTACACCTTCTCGCTGGCCGCGACGCCGCTTTCGATCTCGACGGCCGTCGCCGTCAGCTCTTCGCGCAGCAACTTCACAACTCGTGGACTGTCGCCCAGCATGGCATCTGGAAACTGCAGCGCTACACACTTTCGGTTTCCCGCACGGATCTCCCGGGCCGTCCGAGCAACCTCGTAGACCGCACGCAGCTCGTCATCGGAGCGGCGTGGCGTCTCTTCGACCGAAACAGGCTCGACCTGGTCGAAAAGGTTCTCGGCCGGGGTTGACAGCACGGGGGCTGCTTTAAGCTCGGCCATGATTTGTATAGTCGTTGTTGTTGTTCGATGTATTGGGAAGAAAATATCAGCACCTGCCCATATTTGTTTGTTTGGTGGCGGCTGTAATGTTTTGTCTAACGTCAGCTTTTTTTTCTTTTTTCGAAGGTCACTGTCACGGTAGCGGGGCACTAAATTTTAGTCATAAATCCCGCTGAACGTAGCTGGTGGACAGCATTCACAGCCGCTAATTGGCCGTCCTTTAGTGACTGCGAGCGTGTCAGGCAGGAAAACTATCGAACTCATTGCTTCTTACTTTGCAATGGCTTTTTTCATGTGTTTTTTATCAGTCTTATAATTTTAATACTTATCTAACATTAGTTAATCTCTTTTTCTTCTTCTTATAGGTCCAAAGTACATATATCCAATCGATACTTAACAACCGTCGGCACGAACGCCTCGCACCTTCCGTTACCATAAAATGCGCTACAGGTTCCTACCTCAGAGTCACGGCTAAGTCCCTCCTCTAATATTGTATAATCCGTCACAAGAGGCTCTCAAAATTTAGCCTTGGGACTCCAGCCGACAGCCAAGATGCGCGCCGTCATGTAGCACACCATCGCCACCATGTACGATACGCCTGAAAAGATAATCAGGGCCATCCAACGGTTGTCCGAGACGCCGTCGCCCAGGATCGCACCGCCAATGGGGACACTGCTCAACGTGCCAAAGCTAGCCACCATCATGGCCGTCGAGTAGAAGCGGCCGTACTGGCTCGGGTCGCACAGCTGGCCCAGGCACACAGCAATCAGGCCCAGATTGCTGCCACTGGCAAAGCCAAAGAGCACGGCAAAGGTGATCAACGTCGCGCGCGAGTTGGCCGCCGGCAACCAGAGGCCCAAGACAACCGCAGACGACAGGCCAATGGTGACGATGATGATGTTGAAGCGGCCGAACTTGTCGGCCAGCAGACCCGGCACGAAGCGGCCAAGAACGGAGCCGGCGTTGAGAAAAGCGAGCAGCGCGTACGCCTGGTCGGTGTTTTCCCGGTGGGCGGTGCCGTACGACACAATAAAGGTCAGCGGCACAAAGATGCCCCACTCCATGAAGAAGATGCCCAGGGTGGCGGCGGCATAGCTGCGGTCGCGGAAGATGGTCAAGTCGGG